CCTCTTGCCCCCCCAGGGGTAGAAGTGACTGGAAGCAGGCCCCCCGCTGGAAATGTTGCTCTTTGACCCGAGTCTGATTCTGGGGGTGGAAAGGTCACCTCTTGTTCCTTGGGCCAGCAAGCGTGAACAACAAGCTGGCACAAACGTGGACAGAGATCTCCAGCGCTCCCTGACAGACATTCTGTGTTCTTGTTGTACAATCAGGGTGACTTGCTTAATAGTTACAGTTTGTCCATATCATCTTTTTTCCCAAGAGGAGGAAGAAAAGCATGTGAGTTTTGTGATCACAGCAGTGTCTTAGTTGCTTTCCTTGTGGAGGTTGATTTTGGCTCCGTTTGTAGCAGTTCAGTCCATCGCCCACTGGCTCCAGGGCAGGGCCCCACAGCAGACGGGCCTGGTGGAAGAAAAATTGCTCTTGGCATGGTGGTCAGGAAACAGTGTCAAGGGAGGAGGAGGCCAGGCCAGACCCAGGGACCCACCCTTTCTGACCAGACCCACCTCCTAACAGCAAATCAGCTGTAGGTCCCTAAGATCTAATCACTTTCCAAAAACCCTGCCTCTGAGCACGTGAGGCTTTGGAGGGACCTCTAGGAGTAAACCGTAAAGGCCAGGAAGCCTCAGACCCACAAGGCCTTGGGTCAGGAGTCTTTGATGACTCCAGAGTTTGGGGTCAAGATGAAGATGGGAGCTATTTAGCGGCACAGCTTCCAGGTAGAGTCCATGCCTCACAGGCGAAAGACAGGTGTTCAGTCCCCAGCATATAAAAGGGGGACAGTGAGGTGTCCTTGACTGAAGTGAAGTGTTCAAAGGAGAGAAAAGAGATCTGATCACAGCAAGCAGAGTTGGAGAAGCTCTGTGCACAGACACACATGATAGTGCAGCCGGGCAGGAGGGAGAGGACGGAGAGGCGGGGAGCAGCACCAGGTAAGCCACTGGCCTCGGATCCCAGGAGAGGTGACCCTGGGCACGTCCGCTTCTGGAGTCAGGCGGGGGTCAGGGCCACAGCAGAGGCTGAGTTCAGGGACCCGGAGGAGCAGGGGCTGAGGAGGGAGCGGTCGGGGAGCTGGAGAGATGGAGGTGGTGACTCAGGCAATGGCGTCGGGACATGGATGGCCCTGGAGGGTGGGATGCAGCCACAGCTGGGGCCACATTCATTCCGCTCTCCACGTGGACACAGAGAGGCCAGACCATGTTGTGCCCATTTACCCTGGCGGAAACTGAGGCTGGGGAGGGTAAAGAGCCCTGTGCACAGCGAGTTGGAGGGAGGCAGAGAGCAGAGGCTGGGACGGGGCAGGGGCTCGGTCCTGCGGCTGCTGCTGTGGTCAGGACAGGAACAGATGGGCTGGAGGTCGGTGGCCCCGAAGGCAGCGTCCTCCGGGCAGAAATGGTGCCTGGCTTTGCTGGGACAGCCCGGGCCAGCAGCGGGCCCCTCCTGGCTGGTCCTGCCGGGGTCATGTCTCGGTTGGGCTGAGGGAGGAAGGGACAAGAAGAGACACTTGGGCACAGCCTGGGGTGTGGCACTCACACCAGGTCCCAGCCCAGAGCCGGGCCTCCTGTAGGGCCCCGTCCTGACCCTGAGCTTCCTGCAGTGAGCTCTGCAGGGGCCAGTGTGGTTTGGCTGTGCGCGGCAGACAGACAGACAGACAGCTGGAGCACTGTGGACACGGCAGCCCCGCAGACCTGGGCTCACATTGTGGCTCTGCCTGTTTCATGTCAAGCCATCTCAGTCCCCTGTGCCTCAGTCTCCTCGCCTATGAAAGAGGAGCAAGGGCAACACTTACCCTGCAAGGCCCTTCCAAGATCAGAGGAGAGAGGAAGGGTATTGTGCATATCACAGTGCTCAGAATGAGAAATCAGCCCCCAAATAGTGGCCGCTCTCATTACTGTTACTCTTTTTATTACTGCTGTTACTCATTTATCTCTCCAGGCACAGGAGAGATGCGCCTTATACTTACCGTATTTTTTTTGGGTACTGAGGATCGAACTCAGGACCTTTTGCTTTCGAGGCAGGCTCGGCCCCACTGAGCTAAATCTCTGCCCTACTTACTGTATTTTTGTCCTCTTCCCCAGTGGGTGGGAGGGAGCCTTGAGGCCAAGCCAGAGAATGACAAGGTTGGTCCCCCTTTTCAGGGGGGACCCCTGTCCTGGGGCCTCCTCCGACTCTAGGGGCCAGGAGTGCAGAGGTGGAAATACAGGAACGTTTGCTGCGTGCCAGGACCCCTGGGAGTGGCGGGCAGCCGTGCAGAGACCACTGCTGTACAGCTCCTCTCAGGCTGTGCGCCCCTTGGTGACGGCTGCCCGCCAGACAGGGGGTCCTGGGGGCAGGGCTGGCCCCTGTTCAGTGCACTGCCTTGGGCCCCCAGAGAGCACTCTGTGGCTGCCCCTCCCTCCGCCTCTGATCTCCAGGATCCCGGCACTCCCTCGTGCCTTGGTGGCACAGTGAATAATTCAGGCTGCTGCGTGTGGGCTATGAAATATTCAGCAGCTGTTTCTGCGCAGCAGCAGGAGCAATGCGGGGCAAGGCCGCCTCAGGCCAGCATGGATCAGAGGAGGGACTTGTGGCTGGGTCTCCCACCTGCCCACTCCGCTCAGCACGGGTGGGCGGGGGGCCGAGGGGCGGCCTGGACAGCACCCACTCCCCCACTCCAGCATCCCTTCAGCTTCAGCCCCCCCCCCAAACAGCAGCTCCGCGTGCCGGGGGCGATGCCTAAGCCGAGGAGGGCAGAGAGCCCAGAGGGCCACGGACTCCAGGGACAGGAAGTGTGCGGAGAGCAGAGGCTTTGGGCCAGGAGAGGAGTAATAGATGGAGGGGCTCAGGCTGAGTGGTGAGGAGAGAGGGCCCGGCCGGCTGATGGGGGTGGCCCGTGTGCCTGATGTGACGCGTGGAGAGACACAGGGGGCATCTGGGGGTGAGGATGTGAAGAACTGCACTCCCGGGGGCCCAGGGCTGATCGGAACACAGCAGGTCGCAGCTGGCACCTGGAGGTTAGACTCGAGGACAGTTAGCTCCTGGGTCGTGGCAGAGTGTGGCTCCCCCTCGTGGTCTATTGTGGTAACTACACCCGGAGGCCCACTTCCGGCAGCCCGGTGGCCTGGCCAGCTTCTGGGGTCCACAGCAACACCCCACCCTTGGGGCTGGGTCCGTGCTCTGCACAGCGCCTGCCTAGATGTGCAAAGCCCTGGGCTCAAATCTCAGCACCCCACCCAACCCCAAAACAGGACGGGCCTGCCAGGCGTGATGGTGCACACCTACAATCCTAGCTCCTCGGGAGGCTGGGGCAGGAGGACTGCAAGTTCAAGGCCAGCCTGGGCAACTTAGACCCTATCTCAAAATAAAACAAAAAGGGCTGGGGATGTACCACCGTTTGATTCAACCCCAGTAACAAAACCAAAACACCTGCTGGTACCGTAGCACAAGGAAGTTGTTTCAGGTGGCCACTCCATATGGTTCCTAGATTAGTGACAATGACAAAACCCAGAATGTCCACTTAACTGAATCTCAGATAAATAATGTTTTAGTGTAAGTACATCCCGTGCGGTATTTGAGATGTGTTAAAACATTACTTGATGTTCAGCTGAAGTTCAGGTCTCACTGGGCTTCCTGTATGTTCCCTGGCAACCCTGCCACCCTGCAGTACTCAGAGCCCCAGGCTGGGAGGGCGGTGACCAAGCATGCAGGGCACCCTTGAGCTGGCCCGGCAGGAGGCGAACAGGGGAGATCAAGGGAGGCCTCGTGAAGGAGGAGTCTGTCCTGGGCTTGAGGGGGAAGGTGGGCGCGCACTGCAGGTGGAGGGACACGTGAGCAAGAGCACAGAGCACAGAGCACAGAGTGAGTCGGCCGCGTGGCTGCGGAGATAGGCGAGGTCAGGGCACCATGTGCGTGCGGCATTTTACACAAAGGCTGCTGGGGCGGGGCAGGGTTGTGCACACCTGTATGTAATCTTAGCATTCTGGGAGGCTGAGGCAGGAGAGTGCCCAAGTAGGACCCCAGCCTGGGCAACTTAGAAGATCCTGTCTCAAAAATAATAAAAGGGCTGGGGAGGTAGCTCAGGGGTCCGGGGTCCAGAGGGCGTCGGGACAGACGGTGATGAGGCCCCCTCCAGCCCACTCTCCCAGGCCCTGGGCCCCCCAGCTCGAGGCAAGGGGTGTAAGGAGGCTCTGGAGGCGGCAGGCGCTGAGAGCCCGGCACGCTGCGTCTCCACAGGGGAGTGAAGGCCCAAACCAAGAACGGTGCCACGCCCCTGTACCTGGCGTGCCAAGAGGGCCACCTGGAGGTGACGCAGTACCTGGTGCAGCAGTGCGGCGCGGATCCGCACGCGCGCGCCCAGGATGGCATGACCCCGCTGCACGCCGCGGCGCAGATGGGCCACGCCCCAGTCATCGTGTGGCTGGTGAGCGGGAGGGCAGGGCAGGGCGGCGGGGCCGGGCCCAGGCTCCTGGCGCCTAGCCCTGCCCTCGCGCACAGGTGAGCTGCACGGACGTGAGCCTGGCGGAGCAGGACAAGGACGGCGCCACCGCCATGCACTTCGCTGCGAGCCGCGGCCACGCCAAAGTGCTCAGCTGGCTTCTGCTGCACGGCGGCGAGATCTCGACTGACCTGTGCGGCGGGACCCCGCTGCATGACGCCGCAGAGAACGGGGAGCTGGAGGTGGGCGGGGGAGGGGGAGTGGTCATTCGGGGCGGGCGTGGTCGGGAAAGCTAGGGGTGTGGTCCGGAAGGGGCGGGCCCAGGGTGGGCGGGTCGCTGGGGCAGCGCGCGGGCGCCCTCTGCTGGAGCAGTGCTCTCAGCACACCCCGCCCTGACTCCAGGCCCCGCTCGAACCCGGGTCCTCACCTATCCCCACCCCGCCAACCCCGCAGTGCTGCCAGATCCTGGTAGTGAACGGCGCGGAACTGGACGTCCGCGACCGTGACGGGTACACGGCCGCCGACCTGTCGGACTTCAATGGCCACAGCCACTGCACTCGCTACTTGCGCACCGTGGAGAACCTGGTACGACCAGACGCAGCTCGGTGGCCTGATCTTTCGCTCTCCCCCCAGGGTGATGTCTTACCCTTTACCAAGGAAGAAACAGGTTCAGGGTGTGAAGCCCCGGACCAGGGTGACACGGGGCTGTAGGGAAGGAGGCCCGGGAGGACCGGAGCCCTCAGGATAAGAGACCGGCTGGAGAGGTGAGGAGGCCGGAGTTCACCTGCCCACCCAGGCAGGCACGCGGAACGCCCACAGCCACCCTGCAGGGGGTGGCCCTAGTGCCCCCATTCACAGATGGGTAAACTGAAATTCCTGGAGGCCCGAGGGCACACAGCCAGTAAGTGGTGAAGCCAGATGGCAAGGCCTGGGCAGGACTTCCCTGTCTTGGCCGTTACCCCTCCTGCTTGTTCACTTGGCAGTGAATCCATATCTGGGAGCCTGTGTGATGCTTGGGGATTATCTCATGCTGGATGCACAGCAGTGCACTGTGGTGACCCCCATTCAGCAATCTGAAGAATATGTGAGCCTGGGGTCAGACACGCAGGGGGACTGGGGAACAAAGTCCCCCAGAGAGCCCCCCTACAATGAAGGTGGCCCCGCAAGTAGTGAGCACACTATCCCTGGGCCAACAAGCAGCAGTGGACTGAAGGGCCTTTCTGCACCAGAAGCTGCTTCCTTCCCTGAGTCTCTCCACTGTGGGCCCTACCAGTCCCTTCTGAAACCCCGCCAGCCCATTTGTCCAATTCTGCCTCTGGCAGGTATAGCCTGAGTCCATCTTCACTGTAGTATGAGTTGTTTACACCTGTGATGTTTACTGGGCCCCAAGTCCTGGTGCTTCACTTCCTAACTCTTGTGAAGCCAGGCATAGTGGTGCACGCCTGACATCTCAGCACTTGGGAGGTTGAGCTGGAGGATCACCACAAGTTTGAGGCCAGCCTATATCAAAAAATCATAATCTTTTTGCCATGTACTGGGCAGGTAATACCATTCTTCACATTTATAGGTGAAGACACTCATGTGCCCAAGGTCACACTAGCAGTGGGGGAAAAGACATCTAAAACCACTGTCGCAGCCTGGTCAGCCTGCGTCAACAACTATGGCCCACCAGGGTCAGGGCTGGGTGCCCTTGGTGCCTACTCATGCCAGCCAAGACAAGAGCACTCTCATGCTGCCTGTGTCGCCTGGGCTCCCTGTGGCTTGTGGGGCAGCAGCAGGGTTGGGCCCCTCATCCAGGCAGGCTGAGGATCAGCAGTGTCAGCTCTGAGCCACCAAGGATGCTGGCCCAGAAAAGGCAAACACTCCCAAGGAGTCCCTAATTACAGGGCCAATGAGCATGGCTGCTTCGCCGTTACCTGGTGCCAGGCCTGCCTTCTTATCCCAGGGGGCCTGTGACACTTCTCAGGCAGGGAGGGGCACCTGGCAGGGAGGAGTCGTTCTGGGCAGGAGGCAGCGGAGCAGCGATCGGACTTGCAGGCAGCAGGGACGCCATGGGCAACGTAAGCAGGGCCCCCACCCCAGCCCTGTCCCCACCAGGAGGCAACAGACGTGGGGGGGAGAAAGGGAGGGTGACAGGCTTGGCAGTCTGAGCTGGAGCTGCTCATCTCAGCTGAGCTGGGCCGACCCCACCCCCCACCCTCATCAGAAGATGGGCTGGGCTGGTGTTGGGAGCTGGCAGGTCAGGTAAGTCGACAGGGTTTCAGCCAGGTGCCAGGGATGAGCCATCCTGTCCCCTCCTGACCCCAGCTCGGCCCTGAGCCCCCACCTGCATGCACAGGAGCTCAGGCCCCTGCCCATTCTGAGACACTGGCACGTGGCTCTTGTCTCCTAGGTGTAGCCCAGGCCCCTTCCTCCCAGCAGGTCTCCTCCCTCTAGAGTGGGAAGGGGTTGGGGCCTTCGGTCCAGCTGCTGGGGGTTGGGCTGGAACCCCAGCCTGAGAGCCTGAGCCCCTCCACAATGGGGAAAGGGACTTGGAGAGAGGGAAGCAGGTTCACCAGGGCCTCAGCCCAAGTTGGCCTGAGCAGGACCTCAGCTCACGGAGCACGGACTGGGGCCTGGCTACCCTCACATCCTCCCTGCCTTCCGCACAGAGCGTGGAGCACCATGTGCTGTCCCGGGACCCGTCCACTGAGCTGGAGGCCAGGCAGCCCGACTCGGGCATGTCCTCACCCAACACCACCGTGTCTGTGCACCGGCCCAACGTTGACCTCAGCTCACCCACCAGCACCCTCTCCAACTACGACTCCTGCTCCTCCAGCCACTCCAGCCTCAAGGGCCGGCAGCCTCCTGGTGGTGAGTGGGCTGGGCGGGAAGAGTGAGGAGGAAAGCAGAGCCGAAGCCAGCACTGTAAACACAGTGCTTGTTTGCGCACCACACATACATGTACACATATGTGTACACTTTCCCCACAAAACCCATGTGCACACAATTCGTTGTTCTCACCTACCCACACTTAGACATGCACACTTGCACATGTGCAGAAGGGATGCTTAGACACACACAGGCTGGTGCAGATACACATACATCACACACCAGCAAACAACTCTGTTTCCATACGATGAACATGCACACACACACACAATGTGTCGGTAGAGACCAACACATGCACTTCACCAATGCAAAGAATCACGTGCACAAATATGACAAGTGCACAAGCCCTCAGGGCTGTGTGTACACACTGGCCACACCCTGAGCACAGAAGTCCACCCACCTGCAGTGCCTGGTCCCCACTGCAGAGCTGGCGGGGTGCTCTGCAAAGGCTGGGTGTGGCCATCAGACTCCTACCACCTGCTGGGAAGAGCCGCTGGCCCTGTCCTGGTGGGGCTGTCCTACAGGCTTCGCCTGGAGCCCAAGCCCCTGGCACTTCCCCTCTGAGCCTGTGCACATCCTCTGCCCAGAGAATCGGGCTGGGAGGGAGGGACCAGTGGGCACTGCCAGAGGCCACGGTGAGCTTTGCCAGGGAGCACTCCTGAGCCAGCCTTGCCTCTGGGTGGCTGGGGAGGCTTGGTCCCCAGCGACAGCCTCTGCAAACTCCCCAACCTGCTTCCCGCCTGCCTCCCCAGGGCTTCCGGGTGCAAGGGCTGTAGACATACAGAGCTACATGGACATGCTGAACCCAGAGCTGGGCCTGCCTCCAAGCAAGACGGGGAAGCCTGCACCTCCACCGCCACCCCCTAGCTTCCCTCCACCACCACCACCCCCAGGCAGTCAGCTGCCCCCACCCCCACCAGGCTACCCGGCTCCCAAGCCCCCATCGTCGGGCCTGCAGGCAGCTGACATCTACATGCAGACCAAGAGCAAGCTCCGCCACGTGGAGACCGAGACCCTCAGGAAGGAGGTAGCAAGCCCCGGCCTGAGGGGAAGTGGCCTGGTTCCTGGGTGCAGACGGTGTCCCTGGCCCCAAGCTCCTGGCAGCTCCAGGGGTGCAGGAGGTTAGACAAAGCTGCCGCCCAAGTGGGGAGTTGTAGCTGAAGGAATGAAGACCCAGATGGCCATGCCATGCCAGGAGCTGGGTCTGCACCACCTCTCAAGGGGCAACAGGGTTGTGAGGAGCTGACAGGACACATGTAGGCTGTCCTTCTGCAGACACATGCATGCCCAAAGCCCTGGGCTCAAGTGGAATGGCACCAAGGGGAGGGGGAGGAAGCTGAGTGGACACTGGCAGACGCGGCACCTGGTGGCAGAGGGGGCTGAGGGCAGGGAAGCAAGGATGGCTCGGGCTTGGGGCTTGAGCACCCATGGGTGGAGGAGCCATTGCTGAGCTGGGCACCTGTGGGTGGGGCCAGCCCTTGGGGCACAATGAGCGAAAGTGTAGGGCGATCAGCCAGTTGGCTCCTGAGGCCTTGGGGTGGCGGAGGGGATGGAAGTCAGGTCAGGGCAGCACTGGGACTCCTAGACGTGGAGACCGAGGCAGCACCGGAACATTGGCCAAAGGGACAGAGCAGGTCTGGGGGGGCGCAGCTGAGATCACGGGTGTCCAGGTGTGCAGTGGCAGCTGCCACCTAGGGTCCTGCTGCAGTGCAGACCCTGTAATTCCCTAGAACAAGGCCGGCCGCCACAGGGTGGAGCGGGTGGTGTTTGCACAGGTGACTCGGTCACAATGCCATGGGGTGGGGAGGCCTGGGCAGGAACTGAGCCTCCCTCCGAGGCTCCAGCTAGTCCCAGACTACACAGCAGAGGCTCCCTCCATCTTTGGAGGAGGCAGAGGGGGCTTCCTGGGCACAGCTCAATTTCCCAGGCCTCAGCATGCAGCCGGACTGACAGCCAGGAAACAAGCTACCTGGCCAGCACCCACTCCCCACTGGTGAGCCCAGGCTGCAAGTTGCCCGGTCCTCCTGCCGCCCCTCCGAGGTGCGTGCGTGCCGAGCTGCAGGCTCCGATCTTCTCCACAAAGGGCCCTTTGTGCCACTGCGCCCCCAGCACAGTGCCCAGACTATGGGAGGGAGCAGGGTCCTGGTCACGGCATCTCCTGGGCTGCAGGGGGCCGGCTGGCCCAGAAAAACGAATCCAGCGGGTCGCGTTTCCTGCAACGTGAGCCTGGCCAGGCCCGGTGCTGGAGGGTCTGAGGCCAGCATGGGGACACACAGGCTGTGGGGTGGACAGGACACAGCCCCGCGCGGTCACTCGGCCTTTGGCCTCACCACCTCGCTCCCTATCCCGGCGCTGGGCTGGGAGGGGGGCAGCGGCGACCGGGCGGATGCTGTGCTGTCACCCGAGCCAGCCTGGCCGCCCCTGAAACTGGAGGCTTGGGCGCGGGTGTTGGTGTCGCTTACGCGGACGGCAATGGTTTCCAGTGCAGCAGGGGATGGGTAGGGGCGCGACCCGGAAGCAGCGAACAAGAGAGGCTGCACGGGGTGGTCAGGCCCTTAGGCTCCCGTGCAGCAGGGGAGGGGTGAATGCAGGTCGTGGTGTTCAGGACCTGCGTAGGGAGAGGGACACAGGGGCGGGGCCGCGCATCTTGAAGGACGGCGGGGCGGGAATGGGCCCAGTGGCCCGGGTGATGTCAGGCCTCGGGGCCCATAGGCGGGCGCGCGGGCGGAGATGATGCGCGGAAACCTGAGCCCAGGGATCAGGTAACGCAGGTGTCGGGTCCGCGCCGCCCCCGTGCCAGGTGCACAGCGGGGCCCACCAGCACGGTAGCAGGTAGGAGGCTGGGTCCTGGGCCAGCGAGCGGAGCTTAGGAAGCTCCGCCGGGCTCCCTCGCGCCCAGAGCCCGCTGGACACAGCTGGGGAGCCCGGGGGGGCCCGCGGGTGACCGGGCGCGGGTGCAGCCAGGCCTTGGGGGAGCTGCCCCTTCTCCTGCTCCCCCTGGCGTCCGGGCGGGGCACCCCGCCCCTGGGCCCGCCCCTTTTGGCCTCCGAGGGGGCCTGGTGCCTTCCTTGGCGCGCGCCCAGTACTCCTCCCCGCGGGGGCCCGGGGCCAAGCCCGCCCCGCACCCGGGACACAGGGCCGGTGACTCTCGCCCTGTGCTGCCCTGAGACCATGGGGGTCTAGGGCCCGGTCAGCTGCCCCGCTCGACGGCCGCTGGCTGCGACCCCGGGGAGACCGCCACCCAGGCAGGGAGGCCTGGGGGACTCGCGTCCAAGCCCATTGCCCGCTGTCCTCCCGCAGCCCGGCTCGCCCGACGGCCCCCACGGGCTGCGCAGGCAGGACTCTGGTCGCAAGCCCCGCTCCTTCAGCAAGCAGCCCACCACGGGGGACTACTACCGCCAGCTGGGCCTCCGCCCCGCCGAGCCCCCGGCCGCGCGCCCGGGCATGGCGCACAGCGAGGAGGTGCGCGCCCGCAAGCCCTCGCCCGCCGCCCCCCGCCCGGGACCCGGCCCCGCATCCTGTGCCTCATTCGCCGGGCCCTCTGCTCCCCCGCAGACGTCTCTGCTCCCCGGGAACCACGTGCACAACGGCTGCGCTGCGGACCCCAACCCCAAGGCGTCCAGGGATCTTCCACCGCCACCGCCCGCCCCGCCTCTGCCCGAGGCCCTGAGCTCGCCACCGCCCGCCCCGCCTCTGCCCCTCGAGGGTGCGGGCCCGGGCTGCGGGCAGCGCCGCTCCTCCTCTTCCACCGGCAGTGAGTGGGGGCGGGCGAGGGTGGGGGCGGCGCCAGCCCGAGGGGGAGGGCAGTCTAGACCTCCCCAGTCTCCTCCCCAGCTGGGGACGCCCGGGTCCTTCCTCCTCCTCTCCTGCTTCCTCCTGCGCCCCTGGCCCAGGGAGGGCTCGGCCTTAACTGGGCTCTGGGCCTGTCCCTTAGGGCGCGGGCCTCCAAGCTCCCAGGCCGGTGTTGGGATGAACAGGGGGCTCTGAGTGGCCCTGGGTGCCAGGGGACCGACAGCTGGCAGGCTGCCTTCCCACCTGTTCTGTCCTCAGGCTGTCCTTTCCCAGCTCTTTCTCTTCCAAAGTCGAAGGAATTCTTTGTCTGATCGTGCCAGCGTCCTGGGCTAGCCAGGGCCTGGCGGGGAGCGGGGGGTGGGGGTGGGGCGTTCTGTTGAATCCCCTGAACTTTTTTTTCCCTTTACTGGGGATTGAACCAGAGTCTTCCACAGTGAGCTACATCTTCAGCCCCTTGTTATTTTTTGAGACAGTCTCATTGAGTTGCCTAGGTTGAGCTGAAACTTGCAACCCTCCTGCCTCAGCTTCCCAGAGTGCTGGAATTAATTATGTGCTACGACACCCAAGTTTGGGCATTCTTTTTTAAAAGCTAGATTGGTGACCAGGGCTCCTGGGCTTCTCCTTGGTAGGATGAGGCACGGACCTGCCAGACAGACCTCCAAGGTGACAGTGCTCCTGGCTGTCACCGGGCTGGGTCTGAGGGTCCCAGGTTAAATAAGACACCTAACCCACCCTTCTGTAACAGGTTCACTGACTTCTGTTATGGGTGAAGAATTTCCAGGACCCATTAGAATGGGACGAGACAGGTCTGATAGGCAGACGTTTTAGGATGGACTCAGGAATGGAGTGCGGGCTCTCAGAGAAATGGGGCTTGCTATAGTCGGGAGCTGGGAACATTAATAACTCTTTCGAGGGCTGGGGATTTACCTCAGTGGTGCCGCAGCCTGCCTCACAAGCGCAAGGTCCGGAGTTCGATCCCTGGTACCAATAAATAAATAAATAACTCTTTTGAAAGGGTGGAAAAGCCCAGGAAAACGTGACCCAGCCTTCAGAAGGGTATTAGCCCGTTCTACAGGTATGGGCATGTTTTGCGTTTTGTGTTTTAGGTAATCTGAACATTCCTTGGGTTTGTTCAACCTGCTCCTTTATCTTGGATCAGGCTCCTGTTCCTCACTGTCTCTGCAGAGCCACTTTAAGAATCCAGGGCTGGGGATTTAGCTCAGTGGTTTTGCCGCCTGCTGTGCAAGCACAAGGACCCGAGTTCGATCCCTGGTACCAAAAAAAAAAGAATGTTTAGTGTTCCTGAGGAATTTCTGGTGTGCTAGGCTTGGTAGGGAAGGGGTCTGAACTTAACCCCAGGAGTGATCACCTTGGGTAACTTCAATGGCTTCTGGAAACTGCAGTCTTCTTAAAAGTACCATTTTTTAGTTATGATTTCCTTCTTTCTTTTCTCTTTTCTTTCTTCTACCCCACCTCCTTCCCATACCAGCCTGTCCCGGGCCGGGCCACTCGGCACTGGGGTCCTGTGTGTGGCTGCATTTCCCTGACTAGGAGTCGGTGGTAGCACACGCGCCCCAGCCGAGCCTCCAGAAGCCCCCTCCTAGCCCAATCCCGTGCCTAAGTGGAGGTATTTGCAAAGGGGACAGGGCCAGTGGCAGCCCTGTGTAGCCCTCTGGGTCCCGGACAGACCACTCTCATGGGGCCCCAGGGTAGCCGGAGCCAGGGTCACAGGATCAGAACAGCTCCTCTCTCCTCCCCCTCCTGTCCTCCCTGGCCCTCTGGCTGTGCCCTGCTGCCCCGTCTCATCCGGGGCCCTCACTCCTCACTTCATGGTCACTTCTCTCCTCTCGGTTCCTAGCAGTGAGAGTCCTGAGACACAGGAAGAGTGAGTAGCTGCTCGCGCTCAGCTGGGGCTGAGGCTGGGTGGGGGTGGGGAGAAGCCTGGCTCGCTCTCCGCTCTCCGGGAAAACGCAGCAGCAGGGGCCAGAGGGGCCAGGACTTGAGGAAAGGGCAGGCCAGGGGCCAGCAGGCGAGGGGCCCCTGCATCTGACTCCTCTCCTCGTGCCCCACCCCCACCACATACATGCACAGCATTTTGCGCCTGGCTGACAGCTTTGCCTGAAGAGTGAGGCAGCCACATACTGTCCCCCTTTCCTCTCCCTGTGACACACTGTGGCATCCCCAGCCTGGGCATCCAAGAGCTTTGGGGCCGTTTTCTTCTTCCCTGCTCCTCAGACCCGACCTTTTCCTCAGGGCTCCAAAACCAGCCCCCCCATCCCCATTCACCTCTGCCAGCTGCATCGGAAAATGCAAAATCTGCTGGCATTTGCATGCCGTCCGCCTGACGCTTCTTCCTGGCTGCCCTCTCCTGTGTCCCTCATAAGCGCCTCTTTCCTGGGTCCCCCAGAACTGAGCAGTGCTTTGCCATACGTGTGCTCCCCACTGGCAGTCAGTGTGTTTGCTCGTCTGTCTGGGGGGTGGGCACGGGGAGGACTTGGCTGGGTGTTGCCACTCCAGGGCCCTGAGTCTGTGTGACCACAGAACCCCCAGTCAGTGAGGTCCAACGGTCACGGGCTATGCTGATCCAGGGAGACTCCACCCTGGTAGGGCAGAGCCAGGGCTGGGGACAAAGGTCAAGTGACGCCCCAGGTAGTGTTTTGGAGCTGGGCAGTCAGTGGCTGGGCGGATACATATGCTGGAGTCCCAGGGCCAGCCCAAGAGCCACCATGAACTCCCAGGGGCCTCCAGGCAGGGGCTCTACACACTGTGAGTAGGGTGTGAGGTGGGGCACTGCGGGCTGGGAGCTGAGAGCTCCCCTCTGGGTCCCTCAGAGGTGCCCTAGGATCTGGAGAGCTGCCTCTGAGCCCCGCGCATCCTGACTTGGAAAGGGGTTTTCAGGGGGGCAGTGGGGATGCTGGCCCCAACCATCAACCCTTGTCCCATGGCAGGCACCAAGTCTTTCAACATGATGTCCCCGACGGGTGACAACTCGGAGCTACTGGCTGAGATCAAGGCAGGCAAGAGCCTGAAGCCCACACCGCAGAGCAAGGGGCTGACTACAGTGTTCTCAGGCAGCGGGCAGCCGGCCTCCCAGGTAGGAGGCAGGCAGGTGCCCTGCCCCGGCTCCCAGGGCTTGCCCAGTGCTCAGCGCCACTGCTTCTACCCGCAGCCCGACTCACCGCTGCCACCAGTGTTGCCTGCGCCATCTCGGGCCCGGAGCCCCACCCCGCCAGCTTCGGGGGCTCAGCCTCTGCTCAACGGCAGCGTGGTGCCGGCACCGCCCGCCACCCCTGCACCGGGCGTGCAGCTGGATGTGGAGCCCCTCATCCCCACGCGCGACGAGCAGGGCCGGCCCATTCCCGAGTGGAAGCGGCAGGTGATGGTGCGAAAGCTGCAGCTGAAGATGCAGGAGGAGGAGGAGCAGAGGCGGAAGGTGGGTGGGCAGGGGTGCCCAGAAAGCCCTGGGGTCTGCATGGCTCCTCCAGGTCCTGCCCCACACTACCCGTCAGCCTGCTGGGGCAGCGCGCTGGGTCCCAGGCTCCGCAGCCCCAGCAGTTGGTCCTTTGAAAGGAGGTGGCAGTGTGCCTTCAAATCCTCTGAGACCTTGCTTAAATCCCTGTCTGGGCTCAGGAGGTCTCGGGTGGAGATTCTTCCTTTCCAACAGGCTCCTGGCTTGGCCTGGGATGCCCTGGCCCAGGGACCCTGAGTCATCCAGAGAACTTTGGTCTTGAGCAGACTCTGCCCCTGTATTGCCACTGTCCACTGCTGATACTGAGCCTGGTGCAGCCTCAGTCTCCACGTCTGTAAGATGGGCTGCTCATCACTAGCTGATGGTTTCATTTGTTCAGTGTTCCCCGGTGGGTGCCGTAGCCTCAAGGGGGTTGTGGTGAATATACTTGACGCCTGCTTCCTGGGTGGCTGCCCATGTCTGTGTATTGATAAGCAAATAAGTGTCCCCAAGGGATGAAACAGGACGGTGACAGAGACTGGCACCTGAGGAAACCCCTGGGGTATCACCTTGTCCAGTGCTGTGACCAAGAGTGCCCGGGCCTGGGCGGCCCTAAATTGGCCGCCCTTTGGGCTGGGGGTGGCGAGTCTAAGGCAAGACTTGGAAGGTGAGCAAGAAGTGGCCTGGGGGGTGTGGGGTGCAGGGTGAGCGTGCAGGCTGGAGGCCTGGAAGTTGGAGTAGATGTGGCTCTGAGAATGGACCTTGGGGCCCAAGCTGGGGAGGGCCCTCTGGGCACCTGGAAGAGAACTGGGGTTTCCTGGGGCAGGAGGGGTCTGGGGTGGTTAAGTGGGGAACTAGCAGATCATACTTTTACGTGGGGATCTGACTGTGGGTGTCAAGATGAATTGGGAGGCCTGGAGGTGAGAGCAGCCCCCATAGTGGAAAAGCTGGCACCAGAGAGGTGGCCTAGGTGGAGGAAAATGAGGACGAAAGAGAAGAGCCTTCTGGGTGTGGTAGTGCACACCAGCAACCCAGCCCTCTGAGAGGATGAGACAGAAGGATTGCTAAGTTCTCGCCCAGCCTGGCCAACTCAGACCCTGCCTCCAAAACGGTGGTGGTGAGGGTATGGCCCAGCTGGAGGCAGGGGGAGGTGGAAGCTGCTGCTTTGCTCTCTGTAAGGGTCAGAGGGCCTGTCATTCAGCACATGGGACACTGACCACGGGGGTCCCGAGGGCTTGGGCCACAGCAGAGTCGGGGCAGGGTCAGCAGCCTGGCAGCAGGGGTCTTGCAGGGACGTGGGCTGGGGTGAGCAGACCTGGGATGGGGAGGGGGCGCCCAGCCGCTCCCCGCCCACGCCTTTCGCATGCTCCTTGGGTGGTGTATGAGAGCCCTTCTGCCGGCCTACCTCCCAGCCTCGCAGCGGCGCCCAAGGACAGGTCGTGCCCCCGCCAGCGGACCAAGTGGAGCCTGCCCAGAGTCCAGAGCCGGAGCCTCGCACAGTGTCCCCGTGCACGCAGCCCCTCGGAGCCATTACACCACCCGGGACATGCAAAAGGTTCCCCAGCGCCGCCAGCACCGCCGCGGGAGCTGGGCCAGAGGGAGACGTGCCTCCCTCCCTCTCTTGTCTTCCCCGCATAGCTGACCTCCGCCAGCCCCTGCTGCTACCCCCCGGAGGGCTGGAGGTACGACTGCGAGCGCGACGCCATCCTCGGGCCCTTCGGCGAGCTCATGACGGAAGCCGACATCCTCCTCATCGAGCAGCAGATAGAGAACCTGCAGGTGCTGCACAGGGCGCAGAGGCTGGAGGCGCGCCTGGAGCAGCTGGAGCTGGACCTCGAGCAGCTGCTACCCATCTCGGCCGCGCTCTCGGCGCCGCGCTTCACCGTCGACCCGCGTCGCATGCAGGGCCGCGCCACCAGCCTGCCCGCCTGGTGCAGCAAGATCTCCACGCTGCTCAGGAGCATGGCCTCGCTGCTGGCCGCGCTGGGCGGCCGGCCCACGCACCTGGGCGAGCTGCTGGCCGCCGACACGGGCCAGCCCCTGGCGCCGCTGCCCGACGCGTCCTCCAGGCCTGGGCCCCTCTGCCTGGGCCGCTCGCACTTGCTCAGCTGGTGCCATGAGGCCGTGGCGCGTGAGATCCTCGAGTGTGGCGTCTCCGTGCGACGTCTCCGCGCCACCTACGAGCTTCGCGCCCAGGGCGCAGCGCCCGCGCACACCCCGCCTCACAAGGCCCCGTCGCTGGCCAGCGCCCCAGACCGTAAGCCCATCCTTGAGGAGGACTACGTGGCGGCCGGCTCCCGTGAGCCCACTGTTGCCAACGGCTCGCTGGCCGCCGAGGAGCCCCTGGGGACCCTGAGCGCGCCCGAGCAGCTGGCGTGCGGACCGCCGCTGTCCACCGAGCTGCCGGGCGTGCGGGACTACATCGACCTGCGCAAGGAGCGCATCGTCTACCTCTTCCTGGAGCACTGGCGCAAGTGGGCCTTCCGCAGCCCCGGGCGCCACGCCCAGGCGCGCCTGCGCAGACTGCTGCCCCGAGCGGTGGCGGCCAGCGCAGGCCCCTGCCCCGAGGCCAGTGGTGACTTTGCTCCCCAGCAACCTCCAGCAGACGACGACCTCGCGGCCTGCGGGCCCGACCAGCGGCTGCTGCACCTGCTGAGGCAGCGCCAGGTGGTGGGCGAGCTGCTGGGCCACTGGCAGAGCCTACTTCGCCGGGCGCCCACGGTCAGAGCCCAGGGCCCGGGCCTGGCGCACGGCCTGTACTGGCCCGAGCACTTCCTGCCGCCCCTGGACACCGGCGCGCCCCGGCGCCACGACAGCCTCACCCTCGATCTCTTCATGCTTGGCTACTTCCAGCTGCTCGAGATGGGTCTGAGCCGGGAGGAGCGTAAATTCCGCCACCTGCTGTGCTACGAGATGTTCGACCGGCTGGGCAGCCACCCGTGGGAGCGCATCCGCCTCTTCCACCGCGTGGTGATGGAGGAGGTGGAGGCCGGACGGCGCGGCTGGAGCGACGGCTTCGAGGACCTCAGGCGCCAGTTCTTCGGAGACAGCCCGGAGGCCGAGCCGGCCCAAGAAGAGGCCAGGAAGGAAGAAGAGGAGGCGGAGGAAGAGGAGGAGGAGTCCGGGGACAAGACTGCTCCGGCGCACACGGAGGACCCGCACACGGGGCAGCCCCCGCCCGCCACACCGCCCCCCACCTCGGCCCAGGCCCCGGCCCCGCCCCCACCTCCCGAAGCCGCCACCCAGGACCCCTTGGAGTTGGTGTCTGAGATGGGCGAGTTCAGCAACGAAGACATCTGCCGCTACATCGACCGCAGCTTCTCCTTCTGGAAGGAGAAGGAAGCAGAGCTGTTTGACACCTAAGCCCGTGAATCCAGAGTTTGTCCTCAAGAGCTCTGATCCGGGCCTGGGTGCCTGTCCGGAGCTGCCAGAGGCCGGAAGTGGTCAGGACAAGCCCGACCTGGGAGCAGCTGGGAGCGTGACTGGGCCGTCTCCAGCCTTGAGGTCCCCTGGAGGCAGGATAGGGCCATTTGGCGAGCTGGGGGCCACAGCACACGGCCTGGCTGGGCTGTGTGGCTCAGGTGGCAGTGCTGAGCCGCCTCTCCGAGTGGGCACCGTGGGCCACCTTGTGGCAATGTGGCACTCTTCCTGTCTCTGGTTTTTCACTGGAGTCCATGCCCACCTCCTTGGCTGCCCACTCAGTGTTGCTTGTGTGATGTGTACAGACCTTTTCTCTTCTGTAACATCCGAGGAATAAAACGCTTTGCTGGAAGCTGCCTGTGTTGGATCCCCCTCCCCGATGTCGCTGCAGTCCCACAGTGGTGACTGACGTGCACTCTATTGGGAAAAGGGCAGGCATGGGCCAGGACTTTCACATGGCACTGGGGCAGTGTGGGCCTCTGTGAGCTGGCCGGGTGTATGAGGTCTCAAGGCTGCATCTGCTCAGAGACCCTGGGCGACAGTCCTGGGGCCATCTGTCCACCCACCCCTGCGGGGCCTAGCTGGTCATTCTGTCGCCCTTGTACAGCCTACACTCAGCTCAGATCTCTCCGGCGCCACCTCTAGGACACTGGCCTAGGTCACTGGGGACAGGAGGCTCCTCCGTGGGGGCCGTGGCTAAGTACTGCCATCCATTTGTACCATAGAAAGGCACCGAAAGGGTCTCCTCGGGCAGCCCCGTGCGTGGCCCTGGGTTGGGGTTGTAGTCCCCTGGCCCCACAACTCCTAGCCCATGCTGGTCCTGAAGTTCTGCGGTTGTTTCAGGAGGAGGAGGAGGAAGCTCGGCTGGCCAGCCTGCCTGCCTGGAGGCGGGACCTCCTTCGGAAGAAGCTGGAAGAGGAAAGGTGAGGAGGGGCGGTCAGGAGGGAGCTGTCCCTGTAGGGTGAAGTGCTCTGTCCCTAAAGCGCTGGCACCAACTAATGCAGTCTTTCTCTTTGCAGGGAGCAGAAGCGGTGAGTGCAACCCAGACCCACCACCCTCCCTCCCCCACCCGGGCACAGGCTGGTGCTTTGGCCCTTTTCTCCGAACTGTCTTGGGCACATCCTGCCATTCAGCCCTTGTAACACAACCTCTGGGTTCCTGGTGATACCACCAGCCTCCTCTCCGCCGTAATGTGGCACCTGTCTCCATGGTCAGGCTCTCATGCTCTGATAACCTCATTCCTGAATTACCCAGTCCCATCTCTATTAATCCAGCCTTTCTGCCCTACTGTTACTCCCATCCCAAGATCAATGCCGTTCACCATCTGCCCTCCAAATCTTCGTTTCTTCCCCTGGTAATCTAGCCCAGTGCCATCCAATAGTATAGCATGAGTCACATGGATAATTTTAGATTTTTCTAGTAGCCACACTGAAAATATACAGTGAACTTTTTATTTAACCCAATATATCAAAAATATTATTTCCACATATAGTCAATATCAAAGTTATTAATGAGATGTTTTATACTTTTTATTTTTGCAAAATGAGGTCCTGCTCTGTTGCCCAGGCCAGCTTTGAACTTGCAGGCCTTCTGCCTCAGCCTTCCAAGTAGCTAGGGTTACTGGCACATGCCACTTTGCCCAGTTTCCTCTTTTTTTTTTTTTTTTTTTTGGTACCGGGGATCAAACTGAGGACCTTGCGCTTGCAAGACAGGAGCAGTTCCACCGAGCTACATCCCTGGCTCACCTAGTTTCTTTTTTGAAAAAATAATTTTCAAAGTCCTATGCATTTTACACCTACAATGTATCCCAGCTTGGACTGGCCACATTTCGGATGCACCATGGCCTCACTGTGCTTAGCAGCCACCCTGTCCACCCAGGCAGCTACCCTTTGTTTTGTTCTGTTTGTGGTGCCGGGGATGGAACCCAGGGTCCCAAACATGTTGGACAAGTGCTCTATCACTGAGCCACATCTCCAGCTCCTACCCTGGTGTCTTAACTCATTCCTCATTCCCCAGCTGTATCCCAGTGATGGGGTCCCTAATGGCCCAGTCCCATTCCCCAGTAATTCAGATTGACAACTCCGAAGCAGCTCCAGTCTTGGGCCCAGTACTCTGGCCAAGTCTGTGAGACCCTTACACAGGGCCGTGGGTGACCCAGCCCCTCTGCTTCCAGGAAACCCCAGGGACCCTAGTACCCAACCTCAGCCTCTCCCTCCCCCTCGGTGCCCCAGTAACCGGGATCTGGCCCGGACCTCCTTGGCAGCCCACCCCGCTGCCATCTGGGACCTGACCCAAGCCCCACTGGGTTCTGCCCGCACCCCATCTGCAGAAAAGAGGAGGAGAGACAAAAGCAGGAGGAGATGCAGCGGGAGAAAGAGCAGTCGGAGAAGCTGCGAACGCTTGGCTACGACGAGACTAAGCTGGCGCCCTGGCAGCGACAGGTCATCCTGAAGAAGGGGGACATCCCTAAGTAAGAGCCGCCGGGGCCTCTGACAGCAGCGTGGCCAGCACCGAGAGGTGTGGTGGGGTGTCCCCAGCCCCTGCCCCGCCTGCCGGCCGGTGTGCAAAGGCTGGGAGCCTCACCACCCGCCCCTTCCACGCCGGGACCCGCCCTGAACCCCGCCCGGACCCCCGCCCCGGCCCCTGCAACCCCAGCCCCGGCCCACGCTGAAGCGCAGCGCCATCTAAGCCTCCGCGGAAAAAGTGCTCAAGCCATTGACGCAAAAAGATGCGGCTCAGCTCATTTGCATGCCGACATACGTCCACGCGCCCGGTCGCTGGATGGCGGGGAGCACAGAGCAGCCCTCGCCCCGCCCCCACCGTGGGTGGTGACTTTTCCTGCGGGGCGGTGGGGGGGGCGCACTCCGGAACCCGCGGCGCTGGCACATCCTGGGTGGAGGCGGCCCGAGCTCGGGAAGGGGTTTTCCTCCCTTCCCGACCCAGATCCGTGCCCGACCCCCGCCCCCCCCCCCGCCCCATTTCTCATCCCCGCCGAGGGTTTCCTTGCAGTCATTTGTTTACCGGAAACGATGCAACCTGCCCGTCTGGGCGGAGTGGCTGATCCCGGGGTCCCATCAACTTCCCCGCAGCCCGCGCCCAGACCCTGGCGCCCGGACCCTCTCACTGCCCCGGAGGAGTGGAGGCCGAGGCCCGCACCATGGCTCCAAAGCCGCCTCCCACCCCGCCCCAGCTCCCCCATTAAAGCGCTCTCCGCTGCCTGGGACTCGCGTCGCTGTCCTCGCTGCCGCAGCCACCCGCGCTCTCCTCGGGTCACTGGGCCAGAGGCCCGCGGAAGGGAAGGGCGGATCCGGGCCGCAGGGTGGCGCTGGGCTCCACCTTGGCCCCAGAGGGCAGGCGGGGGGCGGCGCCTGAAGCCTGGGCCACTTCGTGCCCCAAGCCGCCAGAACCACCAGGAAGCCACTTGTCTTCACAGATTTAATACCACAGTACCAGCCCCACTCGGGCCAAGAGAGCAGCGGGGCGACCTTACAGCCCCCCCCACCACCACCACTCGCTCTGGCCTGTGCGGCCGGCTCGGGCAGGTCAAGGGCGGCGGGCGCTGCTACGCGGGGCCCTCGGAGGCCTCAGTAAGTGACATAAAATGTCTACATGCATAAGTAACCGTACTTAGGGCTTTGGCCGGGGTCACCCGAGCGCTAAAGCTGCAGGAGCACCCCACCCCACCCCCGGCCGCGTCACGGACTGAGCTGCAGGCGGTGGCGCAGGTCCTCAGCGCAGCCGTCCAGCCCCATGCGCTCCAGGGCCGCGTAGACGGCGCCCAGGCCCGCGGGCTGCTGCTGGCGCCAGCGCTTGAGCATCTCGTACTGCTGGTCACGGAAGCGGCCGATCTCCACCTCCACGGCCTCGATTTCCGCCTCGCGCAGCCCGAGAGTGCGCACGAACTCCTTCCAACGCCGCGCAGGGACTGCATCCATGATGTCGTACAGCTGCGGACCCGGCTGGAGCATGGCGGCCGGAGAGCCTGCAGAGGGCGCCGGCGAGAGGGGGGGCGCCGGAGGAGAGCCTGGGGAGAGGTCGGAGAGAGCCACTGGGGAAGCGGGCAGGGGCCAAGGACGAGGGGGGCGCCCCTGCAGCACGGGGTGGAGCACCGCACAGCGCGCCCCTTGAGTTAGGGGTGGCACATGGTCAGGCTGGGATCAAGCCACAGGCCACCGAGGTCCCTTACCAAGAGCTGGGCTGGGCAGCTGGACCCAGGACTGTGGCACCTGCTGATGGGGCCCCTCCTGGGTCTGGAGGGGGCCAGGGGGTGCGAGGAGGGCATGGGCGCTGTCCGGGGCTGACAGGTGGGAGGTCTGCAAGCCAAGAGACCCCGGGTCAGCTCTGCTTGCCGAGAAAGGTCAGAAGTGGGGGTTCCCTGGCTCAGGTCACAGATACCCGCTTCAGAGCCACCTCCCCTAACAGGCCCTGCTGTAGTTCCGGGGACTGAATTCAGGGCCTTTGTCCTGAGCTACACCCCTGGCCATTTTTAATTTTTATTTTGAGACCAGGTCTCACTAAGTTGCTAATACATTGCTAAATTGCCCAGGCTAGGCTCAAACTTGCAGCTCTCCCGTCTCAGCCTCCCAGAGATGTGCACCAGCACACTGGGCCCTGCTGTCCTCTTCCTGTCCCCAACCCCAGGGCACTTGTCCCTCCCAGCATTAGCTCCTGGTCACCTGCCTGGACCCCAGCAAACAGCACCACTGTAGGGCAGGGTCTGTGCCAGCCTCAGAGTCTGTGATAACTCCCTGTCCTACAGGTCTAACTGTGCCTGTCACTGTGCCAAGCACTGGGGTCACAAACTGTCCTTCCAGTTAGCCTTCCTCCCAGCATGTACTGAGATTCTTACCTGTGGTGGGCTCAGGGCCTCCGTGCCAGCTTTGTCTGCTGACAGAGACAGAAAGGATTTGATCAGCAACCAGGCACGGCCCCTGGATCTGGGTCCTGAAGTCCAGCTCCTCTTGTATTCCCCTGCATCCCACCCTCCCAGCCTCAGTTTCCCCTTATTCTGACCCCAGGCTCCTGGGAATGTGTGTGTTGCATGTGAAGACTTACCCAGAACCACCAGATTTTGCGGCTGGCAGCGCCAATACAAGTAGATGAGGATGGCCCCGAGCAGGAATGGGGCTACCAGGCCAGGCACGAGCACCTGGACCCAGAACACTGAAAGAGGAGCTAGTGGGTGCTGGGTAGTAGCCAACCCCAGCCCCTCGGCCCACACCAGCTCTCCTGCTGCGATCCCCAGGGGCTACCCACTCGGCCTCCAGCCGCAGACAGCAGCACAGGGCTCCGGACAGCTTCCCAGGACACTCCTGGAGGGCAGAAGGGTATGAGTCAGGGCAAACACCAGGAGGGGCTGCCCAGGATGCCCGGCAATGTCCCCCCAGGTGTGCTGCCCTGTGCGCCTCACTCTGGCCAAGAATGTTCCAAAATACTGTTGAAATGTCACTTGGGTCCCCAACAACTATAACCACCCTATTTATTGATAGATGCGGGGTCACTGGAAAGTCACCTCTACAGGCCAGGGACTTTTGTCTCTTTGGTTTCCTGTGTAGCCCCAGTACCTAGAATAGTCTGGGAAGTGGCACATGCTCAATAAAGACTTGGATGGGTAACTGGTAAGGTGCCTTTCCCCTTATCACTCCTCCGAAAAGGACCTCCTGGCACCCCCATGTTCAGACGGAGAACCCCAGATCAGAGAGGTTATTTCTCCAAACTTGTCCAAGAACTGACAGCAAGTGCTGAACCTCAGGCCAAATTCTGAAGTCTCTGTCAGTGTGACTGTATAAATAACAAGTCCTTAGTATTCATCTGAAGGACTATTAAGGAAATTCTGGCAGAAAATATAGATACTGCACACTGCCTTATTTATCTGGCATAAGGTGAATCAAGACTCCTTTCTCATCCCATGCTTGCCTGAAGTGGGGCCCACGCACCCCAGGCCCAAGCTCCCTCATCCCTAGCCCCTGCTTGTCACCCCACACCCACAGCATGGTCCCCAGAGCCCCCACCCTGCTCCTAGCCCCTTCCTCCTGGCCCAGGACACCCAGGAAGTTACGTGGGGCAGGACGCGCAGCCACTGCTGTGTTCATAGAAGCCAGGCAGGCAGGGCCCACAGCTGCTGTCTCTGCCGAAACCTGCAGTCCAAGAGACGCTGTGGGTCAGGACAGGAAAATCAGGGCAGGAGTGGGGGCAGCTGGGAGTACTCACAGGGTGTAGGTGTGTGGTTCTCAGGGGGCTTGCAGTCTAGGCACGGGAGGCATCGGAAGGGCGAACTTGCCACGCATGGCTTGACTGAGCAGTCGACAAGCTGGCCTGGGGCACAGCCACAGCGGGTGTCTGCCACTGCAGAGCAGTTCTTCAAGACCACCTGGGAGGCTGGCAGGGTGCAGGGAGGTGGTCAGTGCCAGAGATGCCCAAGGAGAGCAAGGCTGGGTGCCCCAGAGAACAGAGGGAAGGACAGGCCAGAGAGAGACAGCTGCCCTGAAAGGGAGAGTGGCTGGCACAGCATATCAGGCCAAAAGCCACGGCAGGTGGGGACCAGCAGTGAGCAGGAAGGCAGTGGGCTCAGGGGTCCGGAGGCCGGAGCAGGGCAGGCACAGGGACCTCACTCCTGGACGCTGCCCCAAAGCTGCCCGGTTCCTTCAGAAAGACCCTGACCACTGCCATCCCCCCACGAGCACTGGGCAGCCCCTCACCCTCCTCGTCACAGGCCTGGCAGCGGGTGCAGTGGACATTATAATGGTTCTCCCTGGCCAAGAAGGTGCCCTGGGGACACGGAAGGCAGGTGGCGTCACCACAGTGCTCCGTGCAGCGGGCCTTCAGGTAGTACCCTGTGGAGCCGGATGGGGTCAGACAGTCAAAAGGGGCGCCCAGCACGTCCCACCGGGCTCCCCACCTTCCTTCTTTTCCCATCTCTGGCTCCTACTTCCCTCCCAGCCCGCCCCTCCTCGCCCCGCCCAGTCTGTCTCCTTGTCCCCCTTACCCCCCACCCCTGCGGCCACTTACCCATTGGACAGCCCCTGCAACAAAACGGGCCATACCTCTTCTGGATGTCACCGCCACAGTCACACCTGGAGCCAGGAGTGCTGCCCTGACCCCCGACACCCAGCAGCAGCAGGAGCAGGAGCCCCTGGAGGACAGGGATGCTGACCCCAGACGCATCGGCCCTTGGAGGCCCCTGCTTCTCAGACCCCTGGGCAGGAGGGGTGCCCATGGGTGGGGGTCCGGCTTCCTCCTTCTGGTGCACAGCCCAGGAGGGGCCCCTGCGAAGGCCTCAGGCTTCCCCTCAACTGGCAGGAACTGACCCTCCCCAGCTTTCTAAGAGATGGGACCCTGGCCCCAGGAAAGGTGTTTCCTCTCAGCGGAAGAGCCCCACCCCTTCCTAGCCTGTAAGTAGGTCGTGGGTGGGGGAGCACGCTAGCTAGCACGGCCGAACCCCACGAGAGCGTCCGCCACCGCGGCCCCCCCCACTCACCGCAGCCCCAGCCGCCGCGCAGCCCCTCGGCCGCGGCTCCATGGCTGCTGCAGGCGCTGGGCCCTCGACCGGCGACAGGCACGCGAGCCCCGGGGGTTCCCCGCCCCGTTCCCAGCACCAGAGCCCGAGGCAGGGGGCGGGGCGGGCACGAGGCCACCTTCTCAGACGCCCCAAGCGGACTCCACTCCCAGCCCGTCCTGCGCCCACCTTCTCAGGCCACCTGCCCCACCCCCGGCCTGGCCCCACCCCCGAGAACCAGTGTCCGGAGGGGAAACCAACCAGGGCCGGGGACTTCGCGCTAGGACTCTGTCGCCAGCCACAAGGGGCAGGGTGGGCGGAAAGTACCCAAAAGTCCCCCGGGGAGACCCACCCTCCTCCAGAGGACCCGGCTGTGGGTCCAGGGGGGACTCAGTCCCGAGGGCTCCGGAGTGCCCTCCGCCGAGCTTGGGATGGTCACCTGCCAAGATGTAAGCTCACAGCGAGCTCCCTCAAGCGACTCCTGTGAGGGCTCTGCTAGGGGCTCGGCTCTGGCATGAAGAGCCCTGGCCTAGGACCCTGGCCTGGAAACACCCCACCCGTTACTGCACGTTTGCTCCCCAGTGCCTCCTGCAGGGCCCCAGTTGCTGGCGGGGCACAGAGCAGAGCCACGGGAGCCTCCATCACCCGGGTCAGGAAACGGGCGGCCTGGAAGACAGGACTCTCCAGAGGGATGTATACAAGTCTTTATAAAAGAACCATCACTCAATAAATACGCAGCTTTACACAGCCAGCCTGAGCCTGGGTGGCCAGCAGGACTGGGAGGGAGGATGTTGGGGACAGGGCGGTCCCCTCTGAGGCCAGATGAGGGTGGCAGTGGGACTGGCACCCGGGAGTCCAGCCCGGAGGGTCAGAGCTGATAACCTCAGGAGTCGGGGACAAGGGACCCTCTGGACAGGCGGGGGGGGGTGCTGTAGCCTGGGCCAGGGGCTCTGTCGAGCTGCCCCCACCCCATCCAGTCCAGCAAGTGCAAGTCAGCCAGGGTGGCAGGCAGGGGTCTGGCCCACCACTCCAACTCATGCCACAGGAGGCAGCAGCTGAAGTAGGTACCACACTTTTAGGAGCCATGTGTCTGCTGTCACTGGTCAGTGGCACTCTGAGGGAGCTCCCTCTGCTCAGACCTCCCTGCAAGGTATGGAGGGGAAGGACAGCCTTCCTTAGAGGATGCCACAGAGAAGTCCTTCCTGCCCTGACCTCAGGCCCCTCTGCTGCCGCTCACCAGACACCCGTGTCCCAGCACTGGGGCAGGTCTATGGCCTCACCCATGCCAACCCCAAATGCCAACACACCCGGTCAGGACCATGCCCCTACCCATTACCGAAGCTCAGTGCTACCCATGCCAGCACCAAGCCATCTGCCCCGACCCCAGCTGGGCCACTCACGAGGCAGTAAGCGTGGAGTTAAGCAGCAGGGTGGTCCTGATTCGGTACAGCTGGGCCAGGGTCAGCTTCCTGTGCTGGCCTGAGAGCCCTGGAGGGGGCTCAGGCTGGGCCTGGGGAGAAACCCCCGAGGGCAGCCCCCTGCACCTCCTCTTGGTGGGGCCCGCAGGATCCCCAGCCTGGCAGCTGGCTCTGCTCTCCGCCTCTGACGGCTCAGGGCCACTGCCTGGGCTAGGTATCCCCTGACAGTCCCACCCAGGCCCCACCTCCTGAGGGGAGCCCCGAGTCCTAGTGCCAGGGGTGCCAGCAGCCAGGCAGAGCTCAGACAGGCTTCGGCTGGGGGCTGGGGGTGCTCTGTGGGGGGCAGCCCCAGACAGCAACTGGGGGAGGCTGGCTTCCGACTTGGACTTGAGCAGGCGGGGTAGAAGCTGGACTGGTAGGCGGTGGCGCAGGCGGGGTGAGGGTGGGGGTGAAGGGGGTTCTGATGACTCTAGGGGCTGGGGCGTGGGATCGGCCACTTGGGCCGGGGCTGCGAAGTCCTGCAGGGAGGTGGGGGACAGGGTGCCGTAGGCCGAGTCCATGGAGCAAGAGCGGCCGTCCACCGGACCCAGGGGCAGCAGCTCGCTGGTGGGCGTGATGGAGGAGGCAGTGGTACCCAGAGAGGTCTCATCCGGCTGGGAGCCGAAGGGGCCACCGCCCAACTCGGGGGAGGACAGCATCTCCCCAGGCTCCACCACAACCATGGCCAGGGTCTCGGTGGAGCCATCAGAAGCACTGTGGGGCCAGGAGGAGAGTCAGCCCGGGAGGCCTGCAGCCGCCGCACTGGCAATGCGGAGGTTTACAGCTATGCCTGGGAGCTCGAGGTGCCCACTGCGGACCACAGTAACGGACCTCAGCTCCTACCAACGGGTCAGAGATGGCCCTCCCGCTGAAAACTGTCCTCCCTGCCGCACTCTGCTGTGAGGCAGTGCCACCCAAGCACCCTCACCCAGTTTACAACACAAGGCTCTTCTGAGGAAGGGGACACGGGCCCCGGCCAGTGTCAACTTTGGAGCTTCGGAGCCCGGGGTCCTGGGCTGCAGTCCCTGCCCTGCTGGGACCCGTGAGGGACCGAGTAAATGTACCCGCGCTGGGAGTCCAGGCTGTCGCTGCTCTTGCGCAGGATGGTGGGGGAGCTGGCAGCCGAAGCGCTGCTCTCCTCTTCCTCCTCCTCCTCCTCCTCCAGGCTCTGCAGCTGCTGCTGGCTGCCGGGCTGCTCCTGGGCATGCAGCTGCTGCAGCTGGTTCTGCGGATAGGGGTCAGTGGGCATGGGGCAGAGTGAGCTGGGATCAGCAGCCCCCCACGTTCCCCTGCCCACCACCCACCCACAGGCCACTGTGCTGTCACCTGGGCATTGTAAATGGCATCCACCCAACCACGGCACAAGGCCTGGCCGCTGGCCTGGAACGTGTAGGCGGCCACAGCACTGTGGAACTCGTTCAGGTAGATGAGGAGGAAGGAGCCTGGTCAGGTAAGGTCCACGTTAGCCTCAGCCAGGACTGGGGCCCTGCCCCGCACAGCCCCTGACTCACCTGGGTCCCGGAGCTCCCGGCACACGATCTTGTCCACCAGCAGCGGTGGCCTGATGACCTTGGTCCTCTCGGCCTTCTTGACTGCCTTGGTCACCAGGAGCAGATCGGTGAAGAGGAAGCAGTACACATCCATCTGGGGTGGGGGACAGGAAGGGCTGTGGAGTCAGGGCGGGGCTCTTGGGGTTGCTTCAACGCCCTCAGTCTGGATCACAGGCCTTCCCTGCACCCTCCCTCTTGGAATTCTTTGGCTGAGACAAGGTCTTGCCATGTGTTCCAGGCTGGCCTTGAACTCACAGGGATCCTCCCGCCTCAGCCTCCCAAATGCTGGGATGACAGGTGTGCACACACCTGGCTCCCCCTTGAAATTATGAGTAAAATTGAAACAAAGATTATTTTCTTTCATTGAGATACAGCTTGTGGGTTTTTCAATCAGTTTACTTTCAAAATAGGAAAAGGGAGCAATTTAAAATCACAATTTCCTGGCTCTCAGCTCCCAGATGTCTGCAGGATTAACACCCCTCAGGGAATGCACCACCTCCCACCTCCGAGGGCTGTGACCCCCTCTGGATCATAAGGAGTAAAGGGCAACCCTGGCATGGTGGCCCAGAGGGTGGCTTTGAGGCTGGGGCAGGAGCATCACAAGTCTGAGCCCAGCCTGGGCAACTTAGCAAGAGCCTGTCTCAAAATAAAAAACAATAAGAGGCCTAGGAATGTAGCTCTGTGTAAAAACCTTGGGTTGAATGCCTAGTACTGAAAAAAAAAAAAAAAAAAAAGCAACCAGCAGGCACATAATCCTCCCTCAAGTGACCTGGGAGTCTCTAGTGTTCGGGCCACCACCACCTGACCCAGCAGCACCACTGGACGCCAGGGAGGTCCCGCCCACAGGGCAGGCGTGGGCGTGGTCGGGGCCCGGGTCTTGCAGACGGTCACCTTGCTGTCCTTCCCCTCCTTCATCCTCAGGCTGCCCTCCAGCAGCAGCTGCCGCGTCTCCTCAGGCGAGGCTCCAGGGATGGGCGCTGTGAGGTCCAGGTGCAGAAACTCCTTCAGGAGCTGGGGCGGGTGCAGGTGCAGCGCAGGTCAGGGCCTGGCTCCTCCAGGGCAAGGAGCCCTGCCACCTGCAGACACTCGCGCCCACCTTGTCCACCTCGTCGTTGCTGCCCTCCACCACCTCGTAGGCATCGATGCGGCTCACCACGGCCGCCAGCCGCCGCCGCTCCTGCTCCTGCCGCATGCGCGCATTCACTTGGTGGATGAAGCACTCCACCGAGCTGATCTGTGGGCAGCCCAGGGCTTCAGTCCCAGGGCGGGGGCGTCGGCCAGCCGGGAGACCCCGCCCACTGCCCAGTTACCATGGTGACAACGGCCTCCTTGGCCCGTGGCTCATCCGTCTTCTTCAGCACTGACTTGAGCAGCAGCGGGTATTTGGTGAGGCGCTGGTGGGGCTTGGCCAGCATGTCGCTGAGCTTCAGCCTCTGGCACTGCTGGTGCTTCTCCGCCCACTGCAGCCCAGAGGGGCGGGGCGCCGTGAAGCTCCGCCCCACCCACCCCGCGCCCACGCACCTTAGGCCCTCGGGCCGGCCCAGGAGTCCTCACCGTGACGTAGGCGCGGAACAGTTCGTTGTTGCGCAGCAGGCTACGCATGTACTCCATGCAGCCCTCCTCCTCCATGCAGTAGCGGATGTAGGGCTTGAACAGGGAGCCGAACTGGGCCGGGGCAGAACCACAGCCCCGGTGACCGCGCGTTCCCAGCGCGTCCCTGCCGCGCTCGACCTCCCCAGGCCGAAAGCTCATCTCGCCTTCAGGCGAGAGACTGCCCGAGGCCAGCCGGCAGGGTAGAGGGCCAGCGGGGATTCAAACCCAGAGCCGACAGGGATCCCTGGGGTCGCTGGTCGGGGGACTGGACAGCGATGGCCAGATGGCTCCGGGCCCGGAGCCTTTGCCCGGCCCTGCCTCCGTGGCCCTGCCCGTACCTTTGTTTTTTGTTTTTTTGCTTACCGAGGATCGAACTCATGACCTTGCACTTTCAAGGCAGGCAAGGTGCCACTGAGCTAAACCCCCACCCTTTGCCCGTACCATCTTGAAGCCTTTGAGGAAGTCTCCGGGTTGCAGCAGTGTCCGCGTGCGCCGCGCCTCGTCCAGCACCGGCGCCATCACGCTGCTCCACAGAGCGCGGTGCAGTCGCGCGATCTCGGGGATGTTGCTGAACAGCCGCTCCGCCTCCACCTGGCACAGAACGGGTTGCTTTGGACGCCCCGCCCAGTCCGCCCTGCCAGCCCCGCCCCTCCCGCCTCGGCCCCACCCCTCCTCCCAGTACCTCCCCAGCCCGCCTCACCTCGCACAGTAGCCCGGACTCTTGCAAGTTCAGGAGGCAGCACAGGAACAGCTGTGGGGCGGGACACACAACTCAGGCTCCCCTACCCACTCCCCTCCCGGGAGACCCTGAGGCACCCCGGCCCCTGAGCCACTCGCCCCCTGGCCCACCTGGGGCCACCCGGCCGGACCCCACCTGGAGGGAAGCTCTGGGGACACTGGCCTTGCAGCCGGGCCTGGAATTCTCTCTCCCCTCCACCTCTGGCCTGGCTGAGCCTCTGGGTTTCCTGGGGGGCTGAGAGTCCTTCCCCCAGAAAGCCCTCCTTGGACCACAAGCCCGCTGCTGGAATTCCACAGCGCCTACCCACCCTGACCCACCAGGGCGTGGGTTCCCGGGCACCTGGCACACAACGGGAGGCCTCACCCGTGTGGGTCCATCTTAACCTGGCAATCTTGCCCCGAAAGCCCCCTCCCACAGCTGGGGAAGCCCCCTTCCGGGGGGCGGCCAGGCAGGCGGGGGCACACTCACGTTGGTGATGACGCGCAGTTTCCGGATGTAGGAGGCCTCGGTGTGCAGGAGCTCCCACACCGCCTCCTGCTGGTGGGACTGCCGCCGGGTCAGCTTCTAGAGGGAGCCAGGCAGGTGGGCGGAGGGAGGGAAGGCGGGTTGGGGTCCTGAGAGGGGCGGGCCACCCTCCCCTTGTGGATGGATGGTCACAGTCAAGACACCAGGGTCTCACACCATGGTGATGCATGCACAACCATGTTTATAGCAGCACAACTCAAAACAGCTAAATCTGGGAAACAACGTATATGTCCATCAACAGATGACTGGATTAAAAAAAATGTGGTGTTTACACACAGTGGAGTACTACTCTGCCATAAAGAAGGGTAAACTTGAGTCATCTGTAGGAGAATGAATGCACCTTGTGACTATAATGTTAAATGCATTAAATCAGACACAGATGCTTAAATATTGCATAACTTCTCTTACATGAGAAACCCGAAGTATAAATAACTTTAAAAAATAAAAGAGAAAATAGGAAACTGGGAGAGGGAGATAGCTCTTTTGCAAATAGGAAGGAGATCCAGAGAGGAAGGGCGGGAGAGGAAGGGGAAGGAAAGGGGAATAAAAAGAATTAAGATGGGGTCAGGGATTTAGCTCAGTGGTTCCAGCACCTGCCTCACAAGCACAAGGTCCCGAGTTTGATTCCCGGTACCAAAAAAACCCGAAGATGTGTTAACTGCATGTATCTACCCCCTAAGGTGAACATAAGTATGTACTGCAAACAGGTACTAAAAAAAGTTTTTAAAAAACAACCAGGGTCTGTCCCTGCTCTGCCAGGCAGCACAGCACGCCCTCTGGCCTGTTTCCCCTCAGAACATCCCATCTCCGCCTCACAAGGGCTGCACGAACCTCGTGCCCATCAATGAGCTCCCGCCAGTTGTCCTCCAGCCGAGGGCAGGCACGATCCTCCTCTTCATCCTCCTCCTCCTCTTCCTCCTCCTCCTCCTCCCAGGAGTCATGATCGAAGCGCAGCTGGTGGGGCAGCCGGGGCAGCCCGAAGAGGCTGTAGGCGTGCAGCTTGGCTTCCAGCTGCTCCATCTTGTCCACCTCCTGGAAGGTGGCATGGGGTCAGGTCCGGCAGGCCAGCCGACAGCCGCCCTGTCCCACCCTAGGGCCACATACCCGGCCCAGGCCGCTGGTGCTGGGGCTGGAGCTGAAGAAGCCACTGAAGCGACTGGCTGCCCGGTTCTTCCAGCTGTCACTGGGGCCGCTGCTGGGCAGAGAGCAGCTGGAGGGCGGGGTGGGCTCCTGGCCCGGAACGCTGGGCTCCCCCAGGAACTCCGACATGTTCTTGCGCCTGCGGCCAGGGGCCTGTGGGGGGGGTCAGTCAAGGCCGGCTCCCATCCCCCACACCTCCCCTCAGGGTCTCAGGCCCCTGCAGGGATGTGGCAGATTCTGCACCCCTTCCCTGGGCACCGGCTTTCCTGAGACCCAGACATGAGCTGGGGCCTGGAAAGTGCAGACACACATCTGCTCGACAATTTTGTTTTGGTTCTGAGACAAGGTCTCCCAACATAGTCCAGGCTGGCCTCCGATTGGCAGCGATCCTTCTGCTCAGCCTCCCAGGATTACAGGAGTGCACCACTACACCCTGTAAGATTCACCTGACTGTTGGCCCCCAACAAGCATGAAGCAGGTGGGGAGAAACACAGCACAGCTCGCAGTGGATCTATTCCAGGACACACTCAAGCAGGGCCACATCTCACTTCCAAGCAGCAATGCACTCGCACGCACATGAACACGGACTCCTGTCCCCTGGCCCTAGAAGATCCATCGTCCAGGAGCAGGGCAGAAGGGCTCACCGCCAGCACCATCTCCCCGAGGCCCCTTGGGGGTCAAGGCGACTTGCCTAGAGGGGGCCCCACCCAACCTCTGCTTCTCACCAAGACATCGAGGTTCTCCCGGCGGCTCGGGGGGTCCACACGCTCCAGCACGGGGGCCCCGGCCCCGGCCGCCCGACACAGGATCGGGAGGCTCAGTGACTTAGCGTCCTTCACGCCCTGCTCCACCTTGCCCTCGTCCCCTGGCTTGGCTAGGGAGGTTTCAGGGGACAAGAAGGGGTGCTTGGCACCTGGGCCCAGAGGAGGGGAGCCCAGCTCTCTCTCCCCAAGATCGGGGCCCAGGCCTGTTGCCTTCACCGTGCCGCCCTACCAGCACAGACACCCAGGAGCACCCAGAGCCACCTGTATGGTAATGAGCCTGCTTGGGCCTGGCCAATGGGAACCTGAGCAGCCTACGAGGGGCTCCCATCCCTGGAAGCCCAGCCACCTGCTGCCTGCCACCTGCCACCTGCCCAGCCAGCAGCACGCAGAGCCTGCCACTCACCTTTAACCCTCAGGTAGTGTCCACCGAACCTGTAGGCCTCGAAGGTGAGGGACAGTGGCGTGCTGGACTGGTCCAGGTAGATGTCCACTTCTCCCAGGGTGATGCCCTTCCTTTCGAACACGGGCAGCAGCACCTCCCTGTGTCCAGGAAGGGGGCGTGGGTGTTAGGGACGGCCATGCGCCCCACCCCATCTACAGCCCCAGCGGCAAAGGGAGCACGAGTGGGAGGCACGCACGGTGCACACCTGCCGAGCTCTTTGGACAGGTGGGCGTGTCCACGCCAGGTGTGTCCGGCACAGGTGGGGACTGAGAGGCCCCACTTGCGGAGACCCGGGCCTCCGACCCGGAGGCCACACCTGCCCCAGCCCCACATCCACCCCCAGCTCCCCCCGGCCCTACCCCAACGACTTCTTCTTCACAGCTGGGACAAACTCCGTCTCGATGTCCACGTTCAGGTCAAATTTCAAGGTGAAGCACTCCTTGCTCGGGTCCTGAGGCCACAGGGGACATCAGCCTCTCCACTGTCACCCTCTGTCCCCTACCTACCAGTCTACAGTCCAGGATGAGAAGCCCAACAGGAAGTGGCAGCTGGGATCTCGCCAGCCCTCCACCTCCTCTGGAGGCCCCCTGCACCCCTCCTGCCCAGCAGCTGGGGAGCAGCCCCATCCGGGCCCGGTGGGCAGCCCTGGGCGCAGGCTGGGGGGACACACTCATTTCAGACCCATTCCTCATCCTGGAGGCTCAGCCTCAGGAGGGGAGGGAGCTGGGAGGGGCAGGGCTGTCTGGGGTCCCCCTGCCAGCCCTGGGGGGTCCTCACATCTGTGTGTCTCCTCCTCGCCTTCTTCTTGGAGAGTTTCAGGCCTGTGGCCTTCCGATCCCTGCAGGGAAGTGGCGGCGAGACAGTGGAGGTGCAGGTGAGGCTTCCCAGGGCAGGCTGTGGGTGGGGGTCCAAGGCTGCCCTCACCTCTTGCTCATCCCAGGGATAAGTTATTCAGCTGGGCTGGGCCCACACAGGAATGTGCGCCCTCTGGTGGCTACTGCAGGAGTCAGGCCAATGGTGCCCAGTCGGGTATGGGAGTCACAACCAAACTGGCTTCCGGGAGAAGGCCCGGGAGCATCTGCTCCCCACGTGGCAACCGCACTGCCTACCTGTGCCCACCTACCCTCTGCCATCCGTGGCACTTTCCTCCTCTTCCTCCAAGTCCACCGCAGGGCTGGTGCGGGGTGGGCACGACCGGGTGGACACATTCCGGGCCAGGACAGAGCCTTGAGAGAAAGCGAGGGGGGTCCTGGCCAAGGACAGAACCTTGGTCCCTCCTGAGCCCTTGAACACAGCCACCTCCAGAGGGACACAGTCTGTGAGCCTTGGGACACCCAGCCAAGGAGCTAGGGGCCTCAGTTCTTCCAGGAGAGGGGGTTGTTGGTTATTATCACCCCCAAGACCCAAGTGGATGAAAAGCTCCTTCAGCGACACTCTAGGTGGGGACCTACCCCAAACACCAAGCTCTGGCTGTTACAGGCAGGGACCCAAGGCCAAGCTCTTCCTCGAAGGCCTCCCTCCCCCACCGCTGTGACCACACCTGAAGTCCCCTGGCCCTGGCAGGCAGGTGGGGAGCAACCCTATGTCCCTCCAAGAGCAGGGAGAGCAGCCACAGAGGGGCCCTGCTCCCCAGGCCCTGGTGGTTTACAGCAGCTGGCAGTGGGGTCCAGCCCTATCCAGCAGGGGCTCCTTTCCTCCTCTGGGTTCCTGACCTGCTGCCCCGCCCCTGGCCTGGAGGGTCTGCCCAGCCCTCTCTGCCCCAGGACAGGAAGCTCGGGAAGAGGGGGAGCCTCTCTGAGGGCCAGGGCCAGCTGTGGGATGAGAACCAGCAGCACAGGGCTGAGCACCAGGAGAGCCAGGCCTGCCCTGGAGACAAGGCCAGGCCGGCCATGCGCTCGGGGTTCGTCATCTACAGGCCAGCCTTGTCTTTCCCATCTCCCTGTCAGGGTTCCAGCAGCACCAAAGGGCCGTTCCCATGCCAGCCCAGGGCTCAGAGCCGGCCAGGGCCTGCCAGGCTCACCCCGGGGGGGCAGGTCGAAGCGGACGTGGCCGTCATAATGCCCTGTGCTGTGGAACTTGCTGTCGCAGGCCTCGCAGAGGTTGAGGGGACCCCGGCAGTGCAGCTGCTGGCAGTCAGTGTGGTGGCATACCTGTGGGCATGGGGACCGTGGGTTGGCAATGCAGGGGTGACCTTCCCCAGCCCTCATGGTGTGGGCGCTGCCCCGGGATTCCCAGAGGAGCAAAACCCCCATCCAGGGGGAGACTGGAGACCAGGGCTGCGGGGCTGGGCACCAGGCCTCTCCCTGCTGTGCACACGGGAAGGGCCCCAAAAGGAAGCCGGCTGCTCTTCGGCTTGGCCAGCTCAGCACTGGCCCTGGAGTGCACTGAGCTGGGCGGGGCCAGCAGCCCTGTGCCCAGGCCCATGGCCCTCACTCTGAGCCTGCCCGGGAGCCCTGTAGATGCAGCACAGAATGACAGCTCCAACCTCCAGGGGCTCGGTCCTGTCGCTGCCAGTCGGCTTCCTACTTTTCCAGGGAAACAGCAGCCATCAGAAGGGGGCCATAGCCAGATGTGATAGCACAGACCTGCGATCCAGCTACTTGAGAGGCTGAGGCACGAGGAATGCAAGTTTAAGGCCAGCCTGGGCAATGTAGTGAGACCCTGCCTCAGAATAAAAGGGAGCTGAGTGTGGTGGAGTATGCGCGTAATCCCCACACATGGGAGGCTCAGGCAGGAGGACTGTCATAAATTCAAGGCAGCCTGGGCTATATAGTGAGACTTTGTCTCAAAAACAAACAAACAAACAAACACAAAAGGAAAAGAAAAGGAGGCCCATAAGCGCCTACCTGAGGTCAGCCTCCCGAGATCAGCCCCGCTGCACCTGCGCCTGCCCTTGCATCCAGATCCACTCTGGCCAGGTGCAGAGACACCACTGGATCAGCACAAGGTGTGCCATCCTTCCCCTGTCCACATTGAATCCAGGCCTCACCCTGCCCTTCCCCACACCCATATCATTCCGCCTTCCTTCCACACAACAGATACCTGCACTCGCACCTCCAGTTCTCACCTGCCGTTCTCTTTATTTCTCCCCAGTTTAACTTTGCAATATTTTGAACCTACCAAAAGTTCTGAGAACAGCACAGTGACCTGCACACACTGCTCCATCTGCCTTCTCTCCCACTCCCTGTCTCCTCACCCCCTCCTGTGGGACAGAAACCTGGGCAGGGCCTGAGAGCCAGGACTTCTCATTGAGACAGGGTCTTGTTATGTTACCCAGGCCGGTCTCAAACTCCCGGGGCCAAGTGATCCTCCTGCCTCAGCCTCCCAAGTAGCTGGGACTCCAGGCCGGTATCATTCACCCAGCAAAGACAACTTCCTATAAAACCCCGTGCAGTGCCTGCACTCGGGAAACTGAAGGTTGATATCCACTCCCTCGTATTTGATACGTTTTCCTCACTAAGTCGTGTTCTTTACAGATGCCCCAGCCCAGGAATGGAACTGAGGTTCACACACACACAGCTTTGTTTAGTTTATCTGTCTGTACCCTTCAGGATGAATTTCCAGAGGGGCGGGGTATCACACGCCTGTAATCCCAGCACTCTGGGAGGCTGAGGCAGGAGGACGGCAAGTTCAGCCCAGCCTGGGCAATCTAGAGACTTCAAGAGACCCTATCTCAAAACAAAAGATGGGAAAAGGCCGGGGGATGTGGCTCAGCGCAAAAGCCCTGGGTTCAACCCCAGTACCAGAGTAGGCGGCTCCCTGGGCTTCTTTTTTCTTTCGTGACATCTGCATTTGGTGGCCCCCAGCCGGACCCCGGCAGAAGGCCGCTCCACGTGGATCCATGTGTTGGCCTCGGACAGGCTCGGGGTGACTGCCTGGGCAGGGACACTGCGGAGCCCACACCTGTCCTCTGAGGGCCTCACTGCCCCTGGCAGCGGCCCCTTCTCCTGGTCATGCACGAGGCGTCAGCGGGGACACCAATCTGTCCCGGTCAGCTCCAAGGGACTGTTGCATCCAGGGACTGCACAGGTGGCTCCTCCCAGCTGCGGCTGGGGACCCTCCCAGACCCTCCCCCACTGAGTTCCTGTCCCCTGGGCACTGCACTGGGCTCAAGCCACCACACCAGCTCTTGTCTGGTCACCAAGGTCCCTGACGTTGCCCTGCCCTTGGGCCCAGCACTGGACACACTGGGCCTCTGGGCCCAGTTTCTGCCTCAAAAACAAACTTGCAGGCTGGGGATTTAGCTCAGTGGTTCCACGGCCTGTCTCGTGAGTGCAAGGTCCCGAGTTCGATCTCTGGTACCAAAAAAACAAAACAAAACATTTAAAAAAAATAAAACTTGTCTCCCAAGGGTCCAGGCAGCTCCTGCAGGACCCCAACCCAACACTGTCCGGGTCCCTGGTCAACCAGACCCTACCAAGTGCCTCCAACTGGGCACAGCTGCTTGGGCCCTGACTTCCCCTGCAGCTCCCTCCCTCCCAGCTGCCGGTGTCACGGGCTGAACGGGGTCCCTTCCAAAAAGACACCACGTCCTACCGCCCAGTGCCCCCGAGTGGCATCGTTGCAAACAGGGCCCTTGAAAGGGCACAAGCTAAGATTTGGGCACCCCAAGTAGAGAGGTGGGGCGTACAGGAACCCCCAGACAAGGACACGCCTGGAGACAGCCACGTGGGGGGGCCAGAGAGTGGGGTGCATCCACAGCCACAGGACATCTGGGCCACCAGGGGTTGGGAGAGGTCCGGAACCATCTTCCCCAGAGCCTTCCAGCCCTGCTCATACCTGCATTTCAGACTTCAGGGTATCAGAACTAGGAGAATGAATTATGGCATTCACCTGGAGTCCCAGCTACTCAGGAGGCTGAGGCAGGAGGATCACTTTGAACCTAGGAGTTCAAGGCCCACCTAGGCAACCTATGGAGACCCTGTCTCAAAGCAAAACAACAAAAAGAATAAGAACGAATTTCTTGACAGCCAGATGTAGTGGCGCACGCCTGCAATTCCAGCACTCCCGAGGCTGGGGCAGAGGATCAATGTGAGTTTGAGGGCAGCCTGGGCTACATATGAGACCCTATCTGGAAAAAAATACAAATGTCTCTTGCTCTAAATCCAGCTATGTCAATTTGTTACAGCAGCTCCTGAAAACATATACATTAGGCCAAGATCTATGGGGTCACCGAGACTGTGTTATGCTCCAGACCTCAGGAAAATTCTGCGGACTCCACCTTTGGCCTCCACAGCCACCACTGCGCTGGTCACGTCCCAGCTGGATGACGCCAGTGGCCTCCTAACTGACCTCCCAGGCTCCACACACAGCTGGGAAAAGCACAGTCAGAGATTCCCAGGAGGACAGACAGCGTGAAGGCTCGAAGGACACAGTGATGGAAGGAAGGGGTGGGCGGGAGGAGGGGTGGGAAAGCCCGAGCTCCACTCCTGACCAGGTCTTCCTACCCCTGGCCACATCCAGGGCCCTACAGCTGTCCTTTCCTCTTGTCCTGGGAGCCAGAGGCTCCTGCTGACACAAGAAGTGAGGATCAGAGAGGTTAATAACCTGCTGAAGGCCACACAGCCTGTGTGTGACTGCAGATTTTAATCACCTTGGCCCTGGCCTCACGGGGTGGGGGTGACATTCTGTGCCTCAGTCTTTATTTTTTTGCCTCAGTCTTGTTTGCATTTACATACTTTTTTTTTTTTTCTGGTACCAGGGATCGAACTCAGGACCTTGCGCTTTCGAGGCAGGCACCAGAACCACTGAGCTAAATCCCCGGACCCACAATCTTGCTTTTAAGCCCATCTAATATACACACAGCAGATTCCACTCAGTGACCCACGCCCTATGGCAAGTCACTAATCAACCAAGACTTCTGTGCCCACCCTGTTGAGGCCAGGGCTCCCCTGAGGTCTGCAGACTCATCTCCCAGCCCCGTGCTGCCGCTGCTGGACACCACCCTGGCTTCAGCCGCCTCTATTGCTGATGCAGCCTAGGCCGGGGACATCAGGGCATCAGGAAGGCCGGGCCCTGGATCCGAGCAAATCCTACCAAGCAAGTCAGATTCGGGGTGAGGTTCCAGGAACACCAAGGAGATCATGGGCCCAGCTCTGTGGCCGAGGCTGGGTGGCCAGGGTCCCTCTAAACCACAGGGTCTCAGCTCCCTCCATGGCTGGGGTCTCCCCAGCATCAAAGCAAGGAGGGCCCTTCTCCTGGACCAAACTGGCCTCTGAGGGAGGAACCCCTGGGGTGGGGTGAGGTGGGCAAAGTCCCGAGGACTGGGGGGGGACGGGAGATCACAAGGCACCTCCAAAGCCGTCATCCTGACGGAACAGCGGGGCCCTGGGGGGAGCACCCATGGGACACCGGAAGCCTCTCGCAGGGCTGGGGCCGAAGCTGAGCAGGGTGGCACAGGAGGAAAAGGGGTGGCAGGGGTCCCCAGACATGGAAGGCCAGCACTGAGGGCCCTGTAAGGACGGGAGCGGGGACGCCTGAGGCCCAGCCCCCGCCATGGCGAGCAGCCCGGGCAGGGGTCCCACCCACTCGGGGACCTTGGGCCTCACCCCTAGCCATACCTGGTCTCTGCTGCCCTGAGCCCCGAAGGGCTCCGGGTCCAGGGAGAGTGGCCTAGGGCCCAGCCCGGAGGCTGCTGGGCGGGCAGAGACGCCGGGCCCAGTCCCCATTTCGCTGGAGGAAGCCGCGGTCTGTGCCCCAGACCAAGCGGAGGCCTGGCTTCCTGCCATTGTGTGGCCGCCCGCCCCGGGACGGCCCGGGTGACTCTCTGCAGATCCCTGACCCAGCCCAGGGCCACCGCGCCCACAGCCTTCCTGGAGGCCTGGCAGGGAGGACAGGGCTGCCTTCCCCTCGGGCACTCGAGCCACCCCAGAGCTAGAAACTCGAAGCCCAGCTTGGCCTCAGGCCCCTGCTCTCCAGACTGGGTCCCCAGCGGGGAGGGGGTCTCGTAACCCCTTGGATTGGGGTGCAGGGGTCCCTGCTGTGTGGTTTCAGAGCGCTTCTCCCCAGGGTGGGGAAAGGCAGCAGCGTTCCCAGCCATCAACCCGGGGGTAAAGAGACGTCGATAAAGTCCGAAGACTGGGCTGAGACCAGGGTTCTGCCTCCTTGGCCAGTGGGTGCAGTCTCTGCGCCAGGATGGGGCCGCCCACTGTGCACCCCGCCGGGCCTTCACCCCGAATGCTCTCCATCCATGCTCTCCATGCACCCGGACCTTCGAAGCGCTGGCACTGGGCCCCCACTCCAACTCAGCCTCCTCAAGGCGGGGTCTCCAAAAGATGCCCCTTCGCCCACCCTCTCTCAGTCTTCCAAAGTCAGACTGATTCCTTCTAAGCATTGATAACCCCCGCAGCCATCTCACTTCCTCATGCCCTCTGTCATTTCCCTGCTAGGACGGCCCTGCCAGAGCCCCAGGACCTTGGCCGTCGAGCTGTGTCCTCAGCGCTCGTGAGGGTCTGGCTCAAACTGGTGACGTCGATGAATGGATGCACATGTGAAGGCAGAGGAAGGACTTGGGACAGGGGAGTCTCAGGCAAAGGGTCTCTCCTTCCTAGGACCCGTGACCTTGGGCCTGCTGGGCCTGCAGGCGCCTCAATGCTGGGGGTCTTCTCCAGCCCCTTGTCCTTGCTGCTGCCCCCCAGGCAGAAAGCGACCTTCTCCTGAAGGACCCAAGAGTCACACCTCTCCCAAGAACTGGAGGCAGCAAACCCCACTTCTGAGACTCCAAGGAAGAGCTACTGTGCTGGCCCCAACTTACCAGAGAGGAAGAAACCAAGGCCTAGAGGTCATGTGACTTGTGCCAAGGCTACCAGTGCGAAAGTGGGGAATGGATGCCCAGCTGGGGACCACACCCTGGGCCTCACACAGGGCAAGGCTGGGCACAGGGTCTTGAAGCCCCCTCTTGGGGGCAGGGAGCTCCCACAGCCAGCATGGGGAGAATCCCTTGGTATGGGGTCAGCAGGTTGCATCAAGTAGAGACCAGAGGCCAGGGCCCAGCAAGCGCAGGGTGGGACAAGGAAAGGAGCCCAAGCCCTGCAGGGAGGGGGTGCTCACAGCTCCTGGGCTCCACCTCCTCTTAGAGCAGGGAGCTGGACCTCTTGTGCAGGCCCAGGAGGGCCCCGCCCATGACTCCCTGGGGAGGGGGCACTCCCCAGCCTGCCAGGCTGCAGGCCGCAAGTCAGGGTGCCGGGTGAAAGCGATACCTCAAAACCAGACGCAGGGGCTGCTGAATAATGGAGCCTCCAAGGCAGCCCCCAGCATCATCTCCCAAGCCCCAGGAAAGCAGGCAGCATCTCGAGGACCTCGGGGCATCCCGGTCCCACAGTGCACTGGGACCCCAGCCTGGGTGGGGTGGAAGAGCTCTGTGACCAGCAGAAGCCACAGGTCTGGGGTAGGATCCCGGGCCGACTGGGCCAGAACCAGGAGCCCAGGCGCCCTGGCTGCAGCGATATCCTTGCCAGGGCCTCCCTAGCAGAGCTCAGCACCCCTGGGTGCCTGCTGCCCCCAAGGCCCCACCAGTACCTCAGAAACTAAGGGTGGAGCCTGTGAGCTTGGGCAGGCTCGCCAGGGTGGAGTGGCTCTGCCAGGGTCCAGCCCCTGGCTCCTCCTCCCCTCTGCCTGGGCCTCACCCTTTGTCCTCCGGGTGGGTCCCGGGCCACTGTCCCAAGGCAGCTGGTGGGAGTGCAGGGCCCACACCACGGGTCTCCTCCTCTCAGGGGGTCCCACTCGGGACCAGGGTTAAGGGGAGCCCTGGAGCCCTGGAGCCCTGACCCCAGAATCAGGGCCTGGGAGCCCCGCCTAGACTCTGGGCACCCCCTCCCCCAGTGCCACACAGAAGGCTCCTTGGGAAGGAACGGGGAGAGGTTCTGGGGTCCACCTCCCCCACCCGCCCCTCCTTCTCTGTCCACTTCTCCAGAATGTCCGGCCTGAGGGTGGCTACCAGACCCCAGTGTGGCCCTGGACGCTGGGGAAGCAGGGGGAGAACAGGAAAGGGACAGCAGTAGCAAATACCCCAAAGCACCCCCGGCCCAACCCGAGGCAGGTGACTGAGGAATCTGCAGGGCCCAGGGTCCCCCTACTTTGGAAGGCAGCCCATCCTCCCCCTCTCTCCAACACAGCCTCTGGTGCAGCCTCTTGCACCCTCCTGCTGGCCCCGAGAGGACTGTTCCACCTGGCACTGACCTGGGGACTCCAAACTACCCAGCTGCCAGGCCCTCCAGGATCCCCGCCTCACTGATACCCCCCACAGGCTCCTCATGGCCAATCTCTGGGCCGAACCCTGAGATCACTAGGGCAGGGGCAGTGCCTGAGCCCACTCACCCTAAGCAGAGGTGGAGCCAGTGGGAGCCCCGAACCCCCCCAGGCCAGGGACCTTGTGGATCCCTTGACCTAGGATTCTGCCCATTAATTCAGGGGCCCCCAGCCCCCACTTCCATGCACAGGGTGAGGGGGACAGCAGCCATGGGGAGTGGGGTCATGGAGCAGAGGAATTACGGCGGGGCCCCCAGCACTGCATCTGCTGGGCTGGGCCGGGGACCAGGGCCTCACCAAAGCCCACAAGGTAGCAAGAGACTACACCAAAGCTGGGGTGCCTAGCATCCAGGCTCGGGGGAGGGGTTAGGGACATCACTGTCCCCAAGGGCGCTCCAGAGGACGGCTACATAATGAGTTCAGGGCCAGAGCTAAGTAGCAAGACCCTGTCTTAAAAGTTAAATAGCTTGGGCCGGGGACTTAGCTCAGTGGTTCTGGTGCCTGCCTCACAACTGAAAGGTCCCGAGTTCGATCCTGGTACAAAAAAAAAAAAAATTAAATAGCTGGGAGTGATAGCACAGGCCTGTAATCCCCAAACTTGGGAGGCTGAGGCAGGAGGATTGCCACAAGTTCAAGGCCAGCCTGGGCTACAAAGGGAGACCCTGCCTCAAAACAAACAAACAAAAATTAAATAAATAAGGGCCGGGGATTCAGCTCAGTGGTGCAGCACCTGCCTCACAAGTGCAAGGTCCTGAGTTTGATTCCTGGTACCCCCCCAAATTAGATAAATAAACAAATAAACAAACCAGAGCTCGGGATCAGACAAACCTCACTCAGGACCAAGCTCTGCCCACCTTGCTGTGTGAGGTGGGCGGGTGCCTGCCCTCTTGGGCAGCGGTGTCCCTACCCACCCAGGCTCCGTGGGTTCACTGAGCCCCTCCGCCCAGCAAAGGCTGTTATCACAGACAGCAGTGATTGGCTACGCCCCTCCTGTCACCTTGGCCCGGCACTTGTGCCCCACAGCACCCCCTTCCTGGGCCACCCCTGCTTCCAGCAGAGGCCTCCTCTTCCAGGATGTCCTCCTGACTCTCTCTCCTGTCACTCTGGCATCCATGTCCCCACACTGAATCTGGTCCCGAGGGATTCTCCTGAGACAGATGCCCTCATGCAGGCTCTGCTGCTTCCAGGCAGGGCCCGGGGGGCTGCCACAGGGTGTCCCAGCCCCGAGTCACCTCTGCAGAGGCCTCAGGCTCTGCAGGCCCTGGCGGGATATGCGTTGCCTGGAGCCCCCATCCAGGGAGAGAAAAGCAGCCAACGCTGAGCCCGGTGCCAGGCGCCAGCCTTGCCAGCAGATTGTATCTGACATCACAGCCGCCCCCCTGCCCGGTGACCACGGCAACTGGAGGCACCCCCTCCCCTGCCACCCCCAGAACAGTCCTGCATGTTCCTCTCCTCATGTGTGCGTGTCTGAAGCAGCTGGGGTGGGAGCTGGCATCTCCGATTTCTGCAGCTGGTAGGGCCAAGCCACACAGTGATTAGCAACATGAGCCCTGCCATTACAGACCTGGGTACTGGGTTCGAATCCCTCGTCTCCCACTTTCCAGTCATGTGTCCTTGGGTGAACCACTTCAACCCGCTGAGACTCAGTTTACCTATCCCTAACTGGGAACCCAGACAGGATCATCTCAGAAGGAAGGCACCGTGAGACGTTGGTGCCAACACAGTCCTTACTATTGTCACTCAAATGATTCTGCGGAGGCCGAACTCGGCTCCATCTCGCATGAGCTGTGAGGCTCGGCCAAATCACACGACCTCTCTGAACCCTGGTATCTTCATCTGGGAATCGGGGTGACAATACCAGCCCTGCAGAGCTGCCACAGCTGCGCACCAGGCTTGGAAAGCATGTGGCACAGAGCCCAGCACGTCCCAGGAAGAGGTGTCCGGGAGATGCCCCTGTTGCTGTCCCTTTTCCTAGCCTCGTTCTCTTGGATTTATGTTCTGCCCCACTCCTGAGCCCCACATCCAAGGCCAGGCAGCCCCATCTTCTACCCTTTGTCATCCCCAAAGCCAAAGTTCCCAAGCCCCACAGAGTCCCAGATCCACATCCAAGCCTGAAGCGTGGCCAGGTGCCAGCAGGGCACTGGGGCCAAGCCTTGGGGACCACTTCCCCTTCGGAAGGGTGCAGTGCCTATCACCCCAGGGCTGCTCCAAAGGCCTCAATTCGGCAAAAGGTGCCCCTCATTTTGGCAGAAGTCCCCCTTCTGCCTTTCCTGAGCCAGGGACAGCCCTCTGCATTCTAAACTAGCTGCCCACGCCCCTACCCAGAGGGCACGGGTACCAGCCCCCTGCACCCTCTTGAGCGCCATGGACACCAGGCTTGGTAGAGAGGGCAGCAAGAGCCCAGTGCCCTCCACCCTGGGCACCCAGCGGCCCAGCCTCCTACCTTGGCAGCCCGGCCCTTGTCCATGCAGGCCGGGTTCTGGCAGTGCAGTCCCCTCTCAGCTGGGCTCTGGTCGGCTGCGGAGAGGGAGCAGAGGGTATCAGTCGGATGCCAGGTGCCCAGGCTCCCCAGCCCAGTGGCCTCCCAACCAGGGATGGGTGGAGCGTCTCCTCAAGCCTCCTTCAAAGGAGGTCAGCGTCCTTTTCTCTTTTAAATGCCAACTTATCTGCCCGGAATCTGTGTGTAGAGCCCTTTTCTTGTTGCAGCTCCCTGGAGAAATTGTCCAGATTCCATGGGGAGAAAAGGCTTTGGGAATCAGCTGTCCCACTAGTGGGGGGAGCCTGGTGACCTAGGGCCCCACATTTTCTGAGGGGTCCCAGCAGGGGTGCCGGGAGCAGGATAGAGAGTCCAGAGGTCCAAGATGCCTTCCGAATCACTGCAGGAAAACCTGGGGGACCCCTTCTCCCTGCTGTCCAGGTCTGGCCCTGCACTTGGCCCCCTGCAAGCTGCCCCTCCTCCTGAGGGCTGGCTCGCCCAGGGCTGCAGGATGCCGGGGTTGTGGGGAGCGGGGTGCCACTGCAGGGGGCTGGGGCAGAGCTGCCCGCACCCCGCCGAGCAGCCCGCGCCGAGCCGAGCCCCCTCCCCGCGCCCCGCACCCCAGTCTGCACCGGGCGGGCGCCTCGGCCCCGCACTCACCCATGCTCAGGCGCCAGCGGGCCGGATCGGGCCGGGCACCCGGGTGCCGGGCGGGCGCGGGTCGGAGCCGCGAGGCCGGCGGGCGAGACAGGTGGGCGGCGGGCGGCGCGCGGGGGGCGGGGAGTCGAGCGAGTGGGCCCGGCCAGCGGCGCCCCGCGGCCCTAGCACCTCCCCGGCGAGCGAGCGTGCGGGCGGGGTGTATCCCAGGTGGGCCCTCCCACCGCACGCCGCGAGGGCGTGGTCAGCGCCCCCAGCGGGCCGCGCGGGGGACTCGAAGGCAGGCGGGGCGCGGCCGGGGGTGGGCCAGGTGCCGCCGGGACGGCCGCCCCGGGCAGGGACACCGGCCCGCTGCAGCCCGATCCCACGCCACCCACGCAGGGTGACTGTCGCTGGGTCAGGGAGTTTGAGTCCGCAAGGCAGGCCGACCCAGAGGTGGGCTCGGAGCTTGGGAGTGGGCTTGGAGACTCCTGCACTTTCATTGTTATTTTCTGTTGGTTTGCGTTTTCCAGTCTTCATTAGAGGATACATAGGCACAGAAAAGCAAAGCTGCTGTGAGTGCATAGCTCACCACAGTCCACCAAACTCGTTTCTACAAAATAAGCAGCACCCGGGCCCAGCAGCAGGCCCCCCTGAGCCCCCAGCCGCACTCCAAGGTGCCCACCCATCCCAGGCAAAATCTGCCTGATTTTGCACTTTATGTGAGTGGGATCGTCCACAGCTGACAGCATTTCCTGGGAAGAAATCCTTGAAGAGAGAAGAAAAGGTGCCCAAGACCCCCAAGGGTCTCGGACCTACATGTAGGCCCCGCCCACCCTGCACATGGGTTCCAGAGGCTCCCGGAAGACCAGTCCCAAGTGTAGAGGACCCCGTTTCCAAAGGCTGGAGCAGGGCCCCTGAGGGGATTCCTGACCCGGGGTTGGGCCCTGGAACTACCAGGGGACCCGAACCCTGACCTGGTCCCCAGGACTCTGCAGAGGGAACTATGCTGGGTGCCAGGACCTCTGAGTTCCCTGGATTCACTCAGCAAACACACATCAAGGGGCCAGGAAGGCTCCCAAGTGTCAAGCCCGGGGCTGGGAGCAGTGGCCCTGTTGGTGACCCTGCCAAGCCTCGGGAGGTCACCATGGGCCTGGTGGGGAGCTTACCATGCCCTGGGTGGGGGGGGGGGGACATATGCACTGCAGTGAGGAGGGGCTGTGTTTGGGCCACGTCTGCACCAAGGGCCAGCATGGGTGTCCTGAAGCTTCCGGGCTGGCAGGGGAGCCACCCCCAGTGTCTCTTGGCCTGCTCCTGGGGCAGCCATCTCTAGTAGGAGGCTGGATGTCCCCAGGATGTGGAGGCAGCTGGCTCAAGGGAGGATGGGCATCGGGGGTCACACCAGCCACAACTCTGGGGCCTCCTCTGCTATCTGGGTTCCACAAGGACCTGGAGCCCCCCGGCTGGCTTTGGGGGAGTTCTCCATGCACCCTGTCTGGGAGCATCTCTTGGCTCCAGTAAGGTTCTAGGACCCTGAGTTCTCAAAACTTGGGGCCTGGGGGTCGGGATCTAGAGCCCTTTGCCCCCAGTCCTTGGACTTTTGCCCCATATCCTGGAGGCTTCGGGTTATTCCTCTAGCCCTGGGGTCTGCCTTCCTCAGCAGCCTGCTGCATCCTGCTCCAGGCCATGGCCACCATAGGCCAGATTGCCCAAGGTAGCCATGGGGCTGCAGCCATGACTCTGGAGTTCTTTGCACTGGTGTGTCTGTCCCTGCAGTCTGCCCGTATGAACCCTGGCCTCTCACCCTTGACCTTAGAGCGGCTGAGGAGCTCATCTGCAAGCTGGACCCATGCTCTGGGTTGCCTGGCCCTGGTGGCCCTGGAGGGAGCTCTCTCCAAGCTCAGTTCCAAAGCTGGGACACCCTGGATCTCAATGAATCAGGCTGCCAGGTATAGGGGTGCACACCTGTGATCTCAGCACTCAGGAGGCTGAGGCAGGAGGATTGGCACAAGTTCAAGTCCAGCCTAAACTACATAGTGACACCCTGTCTCAAATATCCAAAATAGGGCCAGGGATTTAGCTCAGTGGTTCCACCGCCTGCCTTGCAAGTGCAGGGCCCCAAGTTCAATCCCTAGTACCAAAAAAAAAAAAATCAAAAATAAATAAAATAAAATAAAATCAGTCAGGTCCCTGGCAGTTCACGGTGCAGAGAGGGCCCTGGGATCGAGGGGTCAGGCAGGGGACAGGAGCCAGCCATGAGCTCCTTTCCCCGTTATCTGTCCTGCGTACAGATCTCACAGAAAAGGTGGGCCTGGTGAGAGGGACAGCATTCCTGGTGATGTCATACCC